GTTTCAAGTCAAGATGCTTCTTTCCTCTTCCTCTTTTATAAGTACAAACCGATAGAGCTACAGTCTCATCAGAGACTTCTAGTTATAGATGAACTCCTAATTACCAACTGTGACATCATGAACCTGTGCATTTTTCTGTATTTTAATTAAATTTTGCAGAAGACATCAATTATCATTGGAATTTTCTTTTAGACAATATGGACCACATGCACCTACTTTCTGTGTTGTTGCTGATTACAAAACTAATTATTTTTCCGATTCCTGATTGCCCTAATTCTTGTCTTTAAGCAATATATTAATCTACAAGTTTATTTTGTCTATAGTTTTTAATTCTTTTTAGCCAAAGACTCAAAGAGCTTATTCTGTGGCTGTGTCTGTGGTCTGCGTTAACCTTTTGGAATATGGACCATATCTTAATAACTTTTGGCCAATTTTTGTCAAATTTGTCACAGAGTGTCCTTGGCTTAAGAGCTTTCATTAATACCAAACATAGGGATGTGCCCCTTAAACAAGGGGAGATAATTAGGGAAACAAGAGGCCCATGAGCCACAACGCTCAGCTTAATTACTTTGTCCCTCCTGTTCCTCACCAGATTTCCCTCTTGTCATACTTATTGTGGCCCACCTTACCCTTGGGGTCATGACATGATTTGAACAATTTAGAATCTACAGTACCTATAGAAGCTTCCACATAAGTTTCAGCTTTTCTGGCCCAGTGGTTCTTACGATTTTTAAAAATTTTCATATATATTTCAATGTAAAACTTTGATTCCCTATTGTGGGCCCATCCTACACCCTGGGGTGAGGATTTGAACAATTTAGAATGTACACTACCTTCGGAAGCTTCCACTTAAGTTTCAGCTTATCTGGCCTACTGGTTCTTGAGAATACTTTGTATGTTTTAATGACTCCAAACTATTTTTGTTTCTTCTTGATTTTCTACCCTTGTAATGGGGCTTGGCCTTTAATTTTAACAATTTAGACTCCCCTTCACACAAGAATGCTTTGTACTAAGGTGTTTAAAATTCACCCAGTGGTTCTTGAGAAAAAGTGGAAAATGTGAAAAGTTTACAGACGTACGGACAAACGGACGGATGACAGACATCAGGTGATCAGCTTAGGTAAAAGTAGTGGTTGCTAAAACAAATCCTCTTCTTAAGAACCACTGGGCAGTTAATCACCACGCTTTAATTATATGCTAACATGGATAAAAATATGATGTAGATTAAAAATTGTTCAAGGTATCACCCTGGGGTATTATTATATTGCCCTATATAATGACTGGAATTAAGATTTTTTTTTCAATTGATGCATCATAGGACCTCATGTCAAGTTGACTCAAAAGTAGGACACGATGACCTTTTTTTCACAAAAATTATTGTCATTATTTTAGCTACTGAGAGGTTTAGACTCATAAAACCTTGTAAGCTGATGCATTTGAATTTTGCCAGTATTTAATTTCAAATCATTTTAGAGGCATATTTTGGACATTGTGAAACCTAGAATCATCAAACATTGTCAGTTGATGTATTTTGAGCCCTCGGAATGTATTAACTAAAAGGTAGATCACCGTGATCTACCTTTTGAATTTCATAATAATATTTAAATATTTCAGATAGTAATTGGCTTAGATTCATTAAACTTCGTCACATGATGCATCTTGGGTCCTCTGGATGTATCAAACCAAACTAGGTCATTTGGATTTTTAAGGGAATATCTAAATATTTGAGAGAGTAAGAGGCTAATAATCATCAAACGTTCTCATTTGATGCATCTTGGGATCACGGACTATGTTAACCTAAAGGTATGTTAAAGTGACTTAATTTAGGAATTTCACAGCTATATCTAAATATTTCTGATACTAAGAGGCTTAGAGTCATCAAACTTTGTCAGATAAAGCATCTTGGGTCCTCGAAATGCGTGAACAAAAAATAGGATTTTTAAGGTAATATCTGAATATTTTAAATTGTAAGAGGCTTACAATTATTGCATTCACAGAGTTTATCCAAAAAGTAGGTCACAGAGCTACGTTTGGGATTTCAAGGCTTAATCTAAATATATAAGATTCAGAAGAGCGATCCTAGGCCCTCGATTCTCTTGTTTAATCGTCATTTCATTGATCCGTTACAGGGTTATTCTCAGATGACTGTTAAAACCCTCTGGTGTCTTGTATAATTTTGTTGCTATAAATAGAAATGGAAATCCTCACTGATTTTGTGTATATCAGTTATAAATAGAACTGTAAGTCCTCATTGTTTTTTGTGCTTGTCACTTAATGGTAACTAGCACATGTACTTGTCAGTCACATTATGGATAATTTACTAGAAAAAGACTTTAATGGTGACATAACAACAAAGCTTTATGATAAACGTGATGACTTCAATTTTTCAATCGTCAACTTCCCTTACTTATTCAGCAATATACCCTTATCACCTGCATATGGGGTTTATGTCCTCCATTTGCTTCGATATGCAAGAACACGCTCTACGTATGAACAATTTCTAAAACGAGACAAGCTATTGACAAACAAGTTGATGAAACAAGGATATCAACAGTCTCGTTTGAAGTCATCATTTCGCAAGTTTTATGGTCGATACAATGACCTTGTCATCAAATACAACCTATCATTAAGTCAAATGCTGACTGACGTTTTTCATACTAATTGCTAGGCCATTATTTACACACTGAATTGTCTACGGATATTTCCTGTTTTTTTTTTCGATCAGCAGGAGATGCTCTCTCCTCCATGGCTCCTGATCCCACCTCTGATGTTTTTGGAGGTCCGTGTTTGCTCTGCTCCCAATTTGTATTGTCTAAATGGACTCTGAGCTTGAATGCTGTTCGTTATCTCCATATTTCATTTCGTTTTCACTATTCAGTTAGTCTGGAAATTTTCCATCCATGATATCTCAAATAGTGCGAATTTACATAATACAGCATCTATTTTTAGAAACTGTTGCAAAAAAAGAATTGTGAGTCTACGTTCATTAATATGTAAAGTGCTGTCTAAACAACTGTTCCTGTTGTTGAAATATTGTAGATAGCAATATGTTTATAAAAATATAATGAAGCTTCCAGTATTTGGAAAATTTTTATTTAACCTCATTTTACATACTAAGACGTATCTAGCTTTTTTGTGCTAAAAATAGAAATAAGAATCCCCTTGAAATATTTTGCATTTCAGTAATTCGTTTCTAGTACTTATCAGTCACATAATGTTTATAATAGGGAGTATTCAAATTTTCAATCCATAATGTCTAAAATAGTGCAACAATCTCTATTTTCTAAATAACTCACTGCATCTATTTTTAGACAACGGTTGCTATAAAAAGAAAAGAGAGTCCATCTTCAATATTGTGCCAATTATTAATTGCCCAAATGTTTTTGTTCATGACATATTGTAGACAGCAGTATATTTTGTATATATATTTTTCAATGAAGCTTACAACTGGTGGAAAATTGTCATTTTTCCTCATATGCTGAGATGTTCTATTTATGGGTGTTTGCACTATAAATAGAAAAGGGAATCCCCTTCAGATCATAGAATATATTTCTGTAAATGGTTTCTAGTACTTGTCAATCACACTAGGTTTATAACAGTTAGTCTGCATTCTTTCCATCCATCATTGCCTGAAAAAAGTGCAAGAATCTACATTTTCTCGATAATTCGAGGAATCTATTTTTAGACCATTGTTGCTATAAAAAGAAACAAGAGTTGATCCTCAATATTGTATCAATTATTGTACAAACACATGTTCTTTTTAATGGCATATTGTAGAAAGCTTAATATTTGTTAAGACTTTTTCTATGAAGCTTCCAATTAGCATAAAACTGTCAATTTTCTTAATATTCAGAGACATATCTAAATTTAGGTGCTTGATACTATAAATAGAAATGGGAATCCCCCTCAACCATTGTCCACTCCACCTAGTGGTGTCTAGCTACTGTCATTAACATCTTAATATTTACAATATACTTCCTAATTATCCAGCATTGACATCTAAAACTTTGCAAAAATTTGATTTTTACATTTTTCTAAAATATATCTATTTATAGATACATGTTACTAAAAATAGGAGTAAATGCCCACCGATATTTTTTCATGAGATGACACTACTAATTCTCAAGTATAAAAACACACATAAGATTTGGAAATTTTCCACTGACAATTTTTCTTATTTAGCCTTAAAGATCTCAAAAAATGCTAAATTCCCCATTTTTCAAATTTTCAGAAACCATGTCAATTTGCATGACCTTTTTTTTTTAGATTGGGAATATTTCTAGAATAAATGATTATATGCCTTGTTTACCTTAAAAGTTCAAGTAATCATGTGATCCAATGATTTTAGTTTGAGTGTAGTAAATACCGACAAATATCAGTTTACATTTCCTTAATTTTCATGTTTTCATTTGGTCAAAAAGGGCCAAAGATGGCCAAATTCAATGGATCCGTCTCCATGGCAACCAAGTGCATGTGTGGAACTTCCGACACCATATTTGCTAGTTTTGTACCAAGACACATCTGTGGTGCAAATTTCATCAAAATCCGAAACATGTCGTTTCCAGATTTGTTGGTGCTTACAGAGAATGCTGTTAAGGCCATTCCAAGTTTTTTCTATGTTTAGCGTCCATCCATCTTTCAAACACTTACCTACCTATTCACAAAAAACACACAAGCCAAATAATAAAACACAGACTATATAGTCTTTAAATTGACGTCATTCAAAGCATTTTATTTCATAAATCTATTATTCTTGTAGAAAGATCTATTCTTTAACAAAAACAATTAAGGTATTAAATGCTTAAAATATACCTAATATCATATATTGTAGACGGATACTTAGAGAAATTGATAAAATCTAAAGATTTTGACCTGAAAAATCAATTTCAGGACTCCTGATTTTGTTTGTTTTTTCTGATATGGGGTGTCAAAAACCAAGGCGCACGCAGATGCTAAACATAGAAAAAACTTGGAATGGCCTAATATACAAACCAAACAAGTTTTATCAGATAATCACATTTTTAATATCATACATTATTAACAAAATATGAAGGAGTAAAAGTATGAGTGTCTCTGTCACAGTTCACCACGGGCGATTTTATTCTTAACTCGCTGCTCCCTCACCATAAGTCGTCGTTCTCTCTCATATTCCTTCATACGTAACACAAAACTGAAAAAGTCGGAAAAAGACGTGAAACCTTTAATAATTACATATTTTGATACGACTTCTCAGTAAATTATATTGAGAGAACCTGGGCTTTTACAGTCATATAAGCCTACATGTGCACTATAATGCCCGGGGTCGTCTTCTGTCTTTGCAATTGTGACGTCACAATATATTTTCCTTTCTCTCCATTCTTAATGATATCAAATACATGTAAATTTGGTGTCACAAATATCTGTTGCTAATGTTATAAGGATGTTTTATGACCAGAAATACCAAGAAAAATCCATTCAAGTGAGTAGGAAAAATGAATTTGCATTGAAATATGTAATAAAAACGTTACTGCGTGAATATCGGGAAATATGCTTGTCCTGATCCCGCTTTACTAAGTAAAGATCTCTGGCAGGCATATTTCCTGATATTTAGTCAATAATCTATATACAGATATAGCTCTGGTAGTCTTCCAAACAGTTGCTATTTTACATATGTACCTTAAACACAACATTCTTTTTATTAAGTAACTGTTCTACAATAGCTTTGAACTTTAATTGCTTTGGACCTTTGTTAATACTAGTAATAAAATGTGTTGTAATCATGTCTTATTAATCAGAATAAATGTTAAGTCTAAACAAAAAGACATGATAATCATTTTGAAAAGGTTCAGCCTGCAGTCTAACTAAACAGAGAACCCTAGAGAACTCAAGGTTTATTTGGGTTTATTTGGTATATTCAAAAAAAAATTATGCATTAATTGAGATGATAATTACTTTATAAAATTTAATGATATTCTATCTATAAAAATGAATAACAAGGTTATTTAATTTTTATGAATGTTTTCTGCTGAAAATAGTTGAACATGTTGAAAAATGTAAAAAAAACAGATGGCAAAGTATTTTGTCATCCCGATCCCAATTGAATTTCAAATATGTCGTTTATTGAAATACTAATTTTTTCCCATAATTTTACAATTCTTTTTCACATTATTTTTTTTTAATTTTATTTAATTTTTCCAGTTATGTAGAACTCTTAGCCTTTCATTCTGGTTTTAAACATATTAATAAAATAAATTTCTTATTCCTTTTATCCAAAAAAGTATGATAAAGTCTTTAGAATAAGTATTCTGTTGAAATTACTAAGCATAAAAGATGGCAAAATATTCTTTTTTTCAAATTTATTTTGTTTTAGCATGATATATTGGTTAAATTAAAACAAAAATATTTCATGTACAGACAATAAATACTGTGGAATCATTTAAATTTGTGGAGGTCAATGGTCGTGGGAATGCAAAATTTTGGTGGTTTGTGGGGACATAATTTCATGGGTATCTTGTATATAAAGAAGATTAAATGAATAAGTATGTTGACAAAATAGTTGTTTATTGGGATGTAAATTCGTGGACAAGGGTGACCCAAGAACTCCACGAACATTGGTCCCCCAGGAACATTGACGATTCCACAGTAATTAAAAATAATTAGGGTTCTCTAAGATTCTATAGAGATCTCTAGGGTTCTCTGTTTAGTAAGACCCCAGTTCAGCCTTATGTCTTCATTGATGAGCCTTGCAAGTTCTGTATAAGAGTTTAAATCCTACATTCAGTTAGTGAACTTGTAAATGTATTTCCTTACAACTAATGGTTAAACTGTCATAAATAATTTTGATAGTCAGATGACTCAGATACCTGAGTCATTTTAGATTTGGGAATATTTAGTTCTCACTGTCTGCCAGTACCAAATTACAATTTCACTGAGAGTTAATAAGAAGGGGTTTCCAGAATGTGAGAGAGTTACTCACTGGTTTTTCTTCAAGGCCCATTCATAAACTTCTTAACTATCAATATATACACAGCAAATCTCATATCTATTGACAATTAAAAAGCTAAGAAATGAAAGTTGGAGAAAACTGGTAACTAACTCCTGCAGGTTATATTATGTAATCTTCAAACTTACTTGAGTGATTGAGATTTCCTATAGATAATTTTCGATTGACACGATTTTAGCAAAAGTAGACCCATTGGTCGCCATATTGGAGGTATACAAGCCAGAATTCCTTCATTATTCCACCAATTTAAACTTGTCATTCTGGGCAATTGGGTGAAGATAGCACAATTTTTCTTACGAATTTACGTTAACACAAGCTTTGTTTAATTCGTAATTTTAGTATTTTAAAGATTTTTGCCCTCATATTTCTGCCATACAAGTTTAAAATTGGTTGCTCAGAGGAAAATTCGCTTTTTGGACCTCCAATTTGGCGGCCAACGGGAAATAACTCTTGCTATTTTCAGGCCTATCGAAAACTATCTTTAAGAAATAATGTATCATTTTTAAACATCTATCGGAATATAAATACGGGTTGGTCACGAGATCAAATTCCAAAAAGCCTGAAGGACTTTAGGGTAAATTTGATCTCGTACCACCCCATATTTATATCCAGATAGATGTTTAAAAATGATTCATTATTACTTACATTTACATTTATGACTTATTCATTTTTTTAATATTTTCCTGATTACAATCTTTAACGAGTGAAATGTTTTATTTTTCAAACTCAATGGCACATATTTGATCCATTGACCGTGTGTCGAACCTTTATGACGTCACTGAGAAATTACATCGAACTTTTATGATGCGAGGAACCCATGTTTATATGGATATAGATATGCATTGCTCTTTATAGTGTTATATAAAAGAAAACCTTTGCAAATGTAAATATATTAGAAATATCAGCTTACTCTTCATGTTCACAAGCCTCGAAATCCTGAAACACTGGATCACAGGGTGTATAGGGGTAGTTATAGGACCTCTGACATTGAAGAAACTTTATAAATTGGTAAGCACAATAATCTCTTCTCTTCATGGGAATATTATAAGCATCTAGCTCTTCTGGCGACACTTTGGGATCTATGGAAAAATAAGTTCGAGATTATATCTATTTGAATGCAGATTTTGTCTGAAATAGTGAAACTGTTCCGGCGAATATTTATGCTATCTTCTATGAAAGAAACATAAGTATAAAGTAAAGCATTGCATATTGATTGTAAAATTTATTGGAATGTTTGCAGTTTGAATTTCCTCTACTTGGCAATAAAGTAGATCATATTCTACCTCTTATTTTTCTTCCATTGGGAAAACCGATATTCGGATCAAATGAAGGTTCCTTTCTCCAGTCTGGTCGCAGCTCAGGTCCATACCACAGGTCTCTGAATGGAGCACCGTTTACCTGTCCCATTTCTGGAGATCTTGCTCTCCTTCGATGACCGAGAGCATCAAAGCGGTTCACATTTGTTTCGCTCTTCTTTAATTTTCGTGTAGGTATGGGATTTCATTTATTTAATTTTTTAAGCTTTGCTTTTCATTTCTATATTTTATCTATTCTAAAGTTGATTTTGATTTTAGAAATTTGTTAAAAAATAAATCTTTTAGATATTTTTCAAAAGAAATTGAATTTAAAAAAAACTTCTTTTACGAATCGTTTTCTCAAGGAGCGATTTAAAGGGAACCTCCTTAAACTAATTTTCACAAGAAATGTTTCGTATCATTTCTAAGCTAAGAACGACTTAACCAAATTTACGAGCCATTTGTAATTTCCGGTCTCATGGTCCCAGCACACTGACAGTATGGTAATGTTAATTGCATTTTTCTTATATTTTTATATCTTATATATACATTTATTTATCTCCTGATTTCCATTCAAATGACAAGAATTCATGATCTTTTTGATAACTTAACTTTAGTTCTTAATTTAAAGCTCTAGATCTCTTTATGATTGAAAAGGGGGGGGGGGACCGGCATGAGAAAAATCTGTTTTTAGGTTTATATAACGATTCAAGTAATAGCTTTTCAAAAGCTTGCCTGATTAGATCAATCAATATCTATGTAATGTATAAGCAAGAGAAGTGCTAAACGTTTCCGTCTTCAAAGGGCGACATAGTTGCGATACTTCATTACAGAAGATGTACAATTGACTTTCGCAAATGTCATAACCAAATATTACAGATTAACGAACATCTAAGACATGCCAATGTTTGGTCATGTATTAGTTAGCCCACGGGCTGACAAGTTACGTTCACTCGGAGCTCCTGGGGTAGCTCATGTCTCGCACACTAATATTAAACTACTTTGTATGGAGAGTAGCGGAGTCAGCCATGGATTGCCAGTTTAGTTACGTTGGGTTGAAACTGCAAGTGCGCTTGCATAGATTGGAATTCTGGGAAAATTGTTAGACGATTCGTTCTAAAGAAATTCATATTACTCTCTTGCGTGCTTCTTCATTCACACTCTCTGGTCAATGATAGATTGATGAGACAGCCTCTGTTTATAGACTGGTCTGTTGTCCGTTAATCTTGATGACAAAGTAAATTGTGAACAGTTTTACCAGGAAAGTTGTCTTGAAGTGTTTGAGACAAAAATGCTTAAGCTGCTCTTAGGATGCAAAGTAAAAGGCCGGTACACTTTATGGCTAGAGCAAAACAAGATACTGATACCCCAATTGTCAACCCCCAACCCCCTCTGGATAAAACTGGATATGGGAGAAAAATAGTTTTGTTCGATTTCCCTGCGTTCTGTGGAATGGTGCATAATTTAAACTAGCATGGAATAAACTGTATAGACATAACTTTATTCTATGAAAGAAAAATATCAGAAATTGAAAAAGAAATTTCTTATTCTGAGTCATTCACATTGCAGTATTTGTAAATAAGTGCCAAATTTCCATCCTTTTATCATTTTTACAAGATATTTTTTTCTCTTTCCCAAGCATTGTTGTAACTGTCAACCATTTTACTATTAATATTACCTCCATTTATGATCATCCAGGCAACTAATCAAACAAATTACTGTAGATTCTTTATTTTTCGCGAGTACTTATTATCGCGAAATAGCTCTTTCACGTCAAATCGCGAGAACAATAATTCGCGATTGGACGGTTGATCAAAGGATTTTACATTGATTTCAGCACCAAAAAAATAAATGCGAGTAATTTTCTTTCGCGAGTGGTGCTTCTCGCGTAATTACGCGATAATTAATTCCTCGCGTATATTTAGGAATCTACAATAAACCCTTTGATCTTTAATCAAAATAGTACATGTATATGAAAGAAATACATGTACTATAAATATGTTTACTGAACAACAAATTGTCACATTCAAATGTAGAAAACATGAATATTATTGCAAAAATGCCCACCACAAAAATATAAGTATGAGGAGATTGTGTTTATAATAGCATTCAATGATTCTTTCTTGCTGAATTTTTTTTTGTAATGTTTTAAATCTAATTGGAAAAATTTATTACCATACACATTTAACAGTGCCATTTTAAAGAAAAGAGAAGGAATTGTATATAATAGAGCAGGGCTCTCAATTCTCTATATTTGGGGCCATTCAAAGGCCCCATTCCCAATTCAAAAAAGGTACCTTTTTTCCCAATTGAATGTGTTAATTTTCCCAATCTGTCACTTTCCCAAATATTAAAGAACATTTAGTAAGATATGTAGTTAACTAAACTTGATATTCATATTTCTCTTTATATAACAAAACAGAAATTTAGTTGATAACAACCGCCAGAAACTCAATATATCATGAATGTCTAGTTATGCTTTTCCCAAAATTACTCAAAAGGTCGCTAATTTTCCCAATTTTTACGGCCCCGGCCCCAATCCCAAAAAGTGGTGTGAGAGCCCTGTAGAGATTTTTATGACGTCGAGCTCTTGGAACTCGAACGTCATCTAGCAAGCGCCCAGTTGAAATCGCGACCGGTGATGTACGCGACCGAATGTGTCAGTCGATGCATCTGCAATAGAAAATAGCAATAGCTATAAACCACATTTCTTTGAAAACGCTCATAATGAATAATAGCTTGAAAATAAAATCGCATCAATTATATCTGCACTTAATTCCATTGCAAATCAACGATATTATGTTTTATTCTCACACAAGAAAAACGTGATGGTTGTTGCGGATGAATTTCTAGAGAAAGGATGCGTTGAATGACATGAATAACATTTCGGAACGATAACCGTGTAACATAACACAACAGGAGGTAAAATAATTACAAAATTACATAAACACGAATACTACAAGACTAAAAAGATTGAATTTCTAAATCTTAGCTTTACTTGTACAATCTTCTAACCAACTCTATCCTAAAAACTGATGATATTGACCAGTATTACTGTATTTCGCCATTTCCTCCATTTCCCAGTATACCATATACCACGCCCGATCGTAATTGTAACAGAACAGAGTCTTGGTTGTAGTTTAGATGCAATCACTAATACAACGCTTTGACATTGGCAATTAGAAAAAAATATTATATAAATTCAGGAAATCCTTCATAGTTCTTCAATTAAATACATGAAAACATGTTTGACGGTGTCTGGTCAATTCGAACCCTGCTCCATTCGGACCATGACATAAGGCCCCAGACTGTAATTGTGATATTTTGTTTAAAACTATTTTTTTTATTATGTCCCTGAGTCACTCACTTGACTTTTTGCTATTTTCAAATTCAAAAAGATCTTTTGAAATTGTTTTTCTCGTTCGACGTCATTGAAGCCTTTCAGGCTTCTGATTTTAAACTTTAAAAATGGCTCTGGTTTCATGACTTTTAAATTTAACTTGAAAGTAAATAATAAGACATTTCATATGTAAATCAGTTACCAGATAATTTTTATGTCTATATGTTTTATTGATTGTAGAAACCTATCCTGTTACATGGACACGAGCGGTCCATCACACAAATCAAGTACAACAGAGAGGGAGACCTGATATTCTCCTGTGCTAAAGACTCGCAGCCAAATGTTTGGTACTCACTGAATGGAGAGAGATTGGGGTCATTCAGGGGTCACAATGGCGCCGTGTGGAACATTGACGTCAACTGTATCCTTTGTTTTGAAGCAGATTTCATGCATATTTTTGTGCCCTCACCATGAAATGGCCAGGGCATATTGTATACAGGGAAATTTTTGCCTCTGTTTTATTTTTGCCCCTTTCACCCTAGACACAAGTGGGTGAATTTAAGATGGGGCAAATTCAAAGAAAACAGTATGATTTCTTAAACAGTAACCCTGACTGAACGAATTTAAAACAGGGCAAAATTGTTTCCTTGTGTGAAAGGGCGAAGATAACACGGGGCAAAAATAACCCTGTATACAGTATATATGTACATCATTCCTTCACTCTGTCATTTCATTCCTTCATAGTTATTATTTTTTTTTTTTACATTTTTTGCTATGCTTGAAGAAAATGAGCTGATTTTTGTTATGACTTTTAATATTGATGACTTGCAGATCCAGTTTGAGTTTCATTCATTTAACATATTTTAATGAAAGTTATGGCCCTTAGACTGTGAAATTTTGTAATAAATCACCATGATCGCTTGTTTTCATGCATATTTGTTTTCAATACACTTTTCATACCAGATTTGGAGAAGACCTCTAAAATTGCTAAATTTAGCTCAAGATATGGCTCTGTTCCTACCTCCTCCCCCTCCCCGATTTATGTGAATAATGCAAGGATTTTTTTTAAATTTAGATTTGGAAAGTTTTAAACATGTTAAAGTTAAAAGAGTTTATGTTGAAGACAGATACATATATATGTTGTTTCTATGACAATTGGACAATTTATAATTCTGTGCCTAATTTAGGCGGTGATTGTTATTTTCCTTAATAAGATGTAGGGGAATCGACAAAGGTGCTGACAGCCAGTGCAGACAATACCTGTAAACTCTGGGATTGTGAAACAGGTAAAACATCAGAAATAATGGCTCAGCTTTAAGCACAGCTGACCATGCTGACTGTTGGGTGCTTTGGAATCCAGAAGGCCTGTCAAAAATGTATAAAGTTTAGCAAAAAATTTCACAAATATAGTGCATTACAGTGATGACAATATGTGCTAAATATTCTCTGTATCAGTACATGTGACATCTTTGATGTCAGTAGCATGCTTTTTAAAATCAGTTTAGCTAAATTGTCATAAACTCATGTCGGTCAGAAGCTCTACAGAGCTTATGTTAAGTTTGTTGTTTTAAAAAATTAGACGTTAAATTAAAAAATCGATGATTCTGATTCTGATTTAATTTATATTTCTGACTAAATTTCAATAATTTTCTACTGTCAGAATTATCCAGAAATTTGTGTTTATGTAAATGCTCTGAAAATGTGCTAATATTTTTTAAGGGGGGGGGGGGGGGGGGGGGAAGGGATTTTAAGGTTCTTTAATCTTGATTGAATGGTGTCTGTCTTTGGATAGATGGACCCTAGGGCAATGATTATTAAAAGCTTATTAACTTACTCGAACATCTTTGAAAAGACTTATTTATCACACCATGTGTCAGAGAACAAAGGACTAGAAAAATCTAAAGAGAATGCAGTTGAAGTTTCTGTTAAGTTAGCCATATTTTATCTCACAGAATGGAATATCATTTTCTGTGGAATGAGCATGCTTTGTAAGTGATACTATGACCATGTTATACGTTTTTCTGACAGGTAAGATCCTGGCCTCTCTGGACACGGCCACTGCCGTCAGGACGTGTGGATTCTCCTTCAGTGGGCGGTATATCATGTACACCACGGATAAAACCATGGGACGCCCGTGTGAAATCCACATCTTTGACGTAGACGATATACGTAAGTCTTTTATGATGTTGATGATATACTGAAATCTTGAATGAGGTAAATGTTGCCAATATCACTGATTCAATCTAACAGATAATTCATGTATATTGTAGACATACATTTTTCTGCATGGGATTAACTAACACTATGTTAGCAGTCACAAAATTTCTGCAGAAATTTGTCACAGCATACTTTGAAATGCATTTAAGACATGAAGAGGCAATTTGAAAAATTTGCTTAGTTTCCTACTGCAGATTGAGCAGAAATTGTGATCCCACTGATTTGTGACCCCGTGGATAAAAATTACATTTGCAATATTCAGTTTCAGAAAGTATGAAAACAATATCTAAATTATACAGTAATAGCAGACACTGTCAATTAAGCTGTTCTTCTTTTTAGGAAATGGAGAACCAGCCATGGTGATCCCTATCACTTCCTCTAAAATCACGTCAGCAATTTGGGGTCCGTACGAAGAGTACATCATCACGGGTCACGAGAACGGAGAAATCTGTCACTACGACTTCAAAACGGGGGAAAAAATCAACAGCTGTAAGGACCACAGCAAGCAGATCAATGACCTTCAGCTGTCCAAGGACATGACCATGCTCATCTCAGCCTCCAAGGACACAACAGCCAAGGTCAGTCATAGACCAGGCTTAATTCTTGTGAAAATCACATGTAAAGTTATAGAACACCTAACTTAAATGTTCTCGGCTTACATGTATCAGCTGTTATTCACATTCACTTATAATAATAAAGATATCATAGATACATGTATCATTGTATTTCTCTGACAGTAATGATTGGATGCTTCACATTTTAGGACATTCAGATTCACTTATGTACATTTATTTAAAACTCGTCACTTGTAAGTGATAGTTTCTCAGCTGTGTTTATGATTTAAGAGATAAATTATAATGTAACATTTTTTATCACCATTTTTTATGAATTTCAGTTGTTTGAAACAAAAACACTGGAGCACATGAAGACTTACAAGACAGAGAGGCCTGTAAACTCGGCCTCTATATCTCCTATCTTTGATCATGTGAGTATTTTATTTTAACAAAATTTGCTGACAAGTCTAGATTTTAAAGAGTAACTATCAATACAATACAAATACAAGCAATGCAATGCAATGTCGCTGGGAAGAAAGACATGGAATGCCCCTACAAACACTTAAAGTTAATAACACCTCATGTTTTTACAGGTGGTGCTGGGTGGTGGACAGGAGGCCATGGATGTCACCACCACCTCAACAAGGGTCGGCAAATTTGATGCCAGATTCTATCATCTTGTTTTTGAGGAAGAGTTTGGACGAGTTAAAGGTCATTTTGGTCCCATCAACAGTACAGCATTTCATCCAGATGGTAAAAGGTAAAGATTGAATCAGTGTCTATTTACTTAACATGTGTCTATTAACATGTGTCTATTTACTTAACGTGTGTCTATTTAATTAACGTGTCTATTTACTTTACATGTGTCTATTTAATTAACATTTGTCTATTTACTTTACATGTGTCTATTTAATTAACATGTGTCTATTTAATTAACATGTGTATGTAATTTTACAAACATTTTATATCATATTTACATTACTCTCAATGTAAGGGGCAATCTCTTTAGTGAGTTTTCTTTATAATGTTATGTTCATTAAAGTGACTTGTAAAAAGAAATATGTTTGTATATAGTGCCAGTAATATAAACTGTATGTTTAATTTAGAGCTGGGTTTTAAGTTATGTGTTTTTATTTTACAGTTACAGTAGTGGGGGAGAAGACGGTTATGTTCGTGTTCACTACTTTGATCCAAGTTACTTTGATTTCCGATTCGAGTATTAACCCAGATCTGATTATAGTGACCTGAAACAGACAATTGTCAGTGCAGACCAGCTGTGAATAATGTGGACCTTACAGAATAAATCTTGGAAAACAAAATCTTGTTCATGTTAACTTTACAGGGCACTAGTAATTCTGTTGAAGTTTTATAGAGGACCCTTTTACTGTTTAGTGTGTTAAAAGAGTTACCTGCCCTATGCTGTGACTTTTTTAAAGTGCAGGCTTTAAACAAGACACATATAGCAAGGAACATTTTAGTCTGTTCTATGTACAGTCAAATTGGACCAGTTTGATTGATATTAAGAAATTTTGCATCTCAGTTTTCTTTCCTTTGCTTGAAGACATTTGAGTGTAACAGCATTTGTACATCTGACTTAACAGTGAATATATGTACAGTCTGTACAAATTTTTGTAAAGCTTAACTTCACTGTGTAAGGCTGAATCATAGTTTAGACACAGAGTTGTTGCACCCATTAATCTTTCCCAAACTCAATGTCTTGTGCCTGATATTTTCTTTCTCGACTACAGATGTTCATTTTATAATGTACCTCAATATTTTTTAATATTTGCACAGTTCCTAAAATTTACTTGAATTCATGTTAATCCCCCCCAAAACAGATCTCGTCAATTTGATGGCATACGATCAACTGGGTGTGGACCAAACATAGAGAATACAGTCTTCACTTGCCTACAGATTGTTAACATTATAAACAGTCAATCATCATTTTGTTTGATCTATGTTTATGTTTAACTAAAATCAGTCCAATAAAACCATTTGTAGCATTTTGAATTTTGAGCTTGCAAGAATAGTCCCCCTTGATGTGAACTATTGCCTTATGAGAAAATTAACCTGATTATACGTGTAGGAATCCAAATCATTCTCTTTCCTTCACTGACTTGAAGACATTCATTGTAATGTTAACAATATTTATTAAGGTAAACAATGTATGTTAGCATGTGAGGAAATTATAATTCACAAGAAGATGCCCAGGTACGGACATTAATGTACAGTTTTATCACTGAGTTTTTCATGTAAATTGATCACTTGTTTCGACTTCTTGGACGCGAATTTCCAGATTTTTTGCGTCCATTTTTCGGACTTTTTGGAGGAGTCTTCTTGGGGGTAGGTACGGGGGTCTTTGGTTTCAGGTTAAATCGTGGTGGAGGTCCTACAAGGAGAAGTTAGCTGGTCATATATGGAAACTGTGACAGTAACACAGTACATGTGACGGCAACATAGAACATGCAAGTGTAATTATTTTTTGTTGAACTACATGTAAGATTTTCTGATTATATCTAATAATTCATCTGCAAACACTAAATTTTTTGTACAATATTACCGAGTGCCTGAGGGCGGGGTAAACTGGTTCTCTCGAGTTTGAATTCCAGGTCTTCCTGCACGTCTTTGATGTTGCATTTGACCTTCTCTACAAGCAGTGATGTGTAGGAGCCGATGACTTCTCCAATTAATTCGCTCACTTTCTGAAAGGTAAAATAAAGCATGGTTATTATGTTTTAGAACCAGAATCCTACAAACGGTCAATTTTTAAACGTTCTTTGTTAATGTTGGATGTTTTATACACTCTGCATGCAGTGAAAATGTGCCAATGTGCATGAAGAACAATTGAGATGAGGGAATTAATTTAGCCCCCTTCATCTCTGGCTGAAATACTGCAATCAACATTCAAACATGTACCATTATAAATGTTAAATTATTATGAAGCCAAAATAACTACATCTGTAATTCATCATACTCACTATAAACAATACTGTGTAATTTCTGTAAACCTGATAAACTGAACAGTGCCACTTCCCAGGAATGAGTTTGTAAAATTCTCATGAACTCATAAATACATGTATTTTCTTTGGAAGTTGTAGCTATAGTATGGTACTTTGTTCTACTGATCTCTTTAGTGAGTGGGGTCTGGACATGGCTGACTGTCAGTCCTTTGTACTGACCTCTTAAGTGAGTGGGGTCGGGATATGGCTGACTGTCAGTCCTTTGTACTAGCTATAGTGTGGTACTTTGTTCTACTGATCTCTTTATTGAGTGGGGTCTGGACATGGCTGACTGTCAGTCCTTTGTACTGACCTCTTAAGTGAGTGGGGTCGGGATATGGCTGACTGTCAGTCCTTTGTACTAAGCTATAGTGTGGTATTTTGTTCTACTGACCTCTTTAGTGAGTGGGGTCTGGACATGGCTGACTGTCAGTCCTTTGTACTGACCTCTTTAGTGAGTGGGATCTGGACATGGCTGACTGTCAGTCCTTTGTACTGACCTCTTTAGTGAGTGGGGTCTGGACATGGCTGACTGTCAGTCCTTTGTACTAGCTATAATGTGGTACTTTGTTCTACTGATCTCTTCAGTGAGTGGGGTCTGGACATGACTGACTGTCAGTCCTTTGTACTGACCTCTTTAGTGAGTGGGGTCTGGACATGACTGACTGTGAGTCCTTTGTACTAGCTATAGTGTAGTACTTTGTTCTACTGACCTCTTTAGTGAGTGGGGTCTGGACATGGCTGACTTTGTCAATCCTTTCCTTGGTTTGTTTCTCCGCGGCCTCTATTGTCTTGGCCCGCTCCTCCAGTCGTTTATTGGCCTGCTCCGCCTCCGTCCTCTGGATGTCCTCGTATCGTTTTTCGTACTCCCACACTGCCTCAGGCTTGCTTGTCTTCATGTCACCGGGATCCACAGGGGTCTCAATTGTCATGGCAACATTTGGCTTTAAAATATCTCTGTTTTTTGAAAACACATATTTGAACAGTTTGAAATGTCTTAAAAAGGTCAGGAATACATAGTCCATATAGATGGGAAAGTTTCTCTCCCCGAGTATATCTGCCAGCTCAAAGGACTGAAGTTTGAGAAATTGAAGAGACTCTGTCAGGTCCTTCCCTGTAAATAAAGTCAGTAATGCATCAGAAGTTCCCATATATTTTAAAAATACTGCATACAGTCAAATTTTTGCCCCCAGTTTTATTTTCCCCCTTTCTTTGTTAATGTCACAAGTGGGTTAATTTATTTAATATGTAGTTATTTTTAGCACAATTGTATTTGAGAAAATTTGTAAGGGGCAAAAATTGCAAGTGTGACAGGGCAAAAATAACATGGGACAAAAATAATTCTGTGTAACACAGTAACCGTATAAAAAGCCAGGATCTCAATGGAACCCTGACAAGAAAGAGACATGAATCAGGTATAAACAATATAATACTAGGTATAACCCTTCACAGAAAAAACGATAGAAATGAGGTACCTTCTGAATCTTTAAGAATTCCATCACAAAATGTCACCACTGTGCAGACTTGTTTCCAGGTAAAGCCTTTCTCTACAGCATATATTAAGTTGTCATACAGAAAGTCTGTGTAAATGGCATTTCTCAGGTTCTCATCATCTTGTAGACATTTTAGCCCCAGCTGTTTTGCTAGAAACTCCTTCCCCTCATCTTTCTGTAAATACAGTAAAGGGTAAAGAATAAAATAATAATGGATGATAATTTAAAATAATGGAAGTAAAGTAGAATATCTGTATTAAATTTATTTAACTAAGGACCCTGAAATTTAGTACAATGAATTCAAAGGGATTTTACTCCTTTGTCAATAATGCTCAGTATCAATTTTAAACAGGATGGATTTCATCAAAACATATAAATCACAATGAAGTGAATGAACACACTTTCAAATCTGATGCATTTCCCATGGTCTGAAAGATCTTACATGCTGCACAGGTGCTTTGATTGCTTGCAAGGGACACCAAAGAAGCTACAGATCACAGACTGGAGTCAAATTCAGGAAGTTATCTTTGCAGGACTAATAACATTTTTGTTTTTCAATTTTGTGCCACACAGAATTGTTGGGGGCTGCATGGTTTATAGGTTAGGTACTTCACTGTCTGTCTGTTAAGCTTTCATGTCTGGGTTAGAACTTTGGAATAGAGAAACATAAGCAGTTCATACTTGGCACAAAAGCAATTATTTTGGTAGACCTTACTGGCCCCCATATCTGCGAGATCCGCATGCTTATTGCACTATGGTGTAAGATTTACGTCACTCACCTTAAAAGGATTATAGTCTTGCAGTGACTACTCAACTCATTAGGGTAAGTCTTGCACCAACCTGGGAGATTAGTTAGTACTCGACTAATCATTAGGGTTGCCAATAAGTAATCACTTACTAAAGTGCTTGTCAAAATATACAAGTATCCACTATTAAAATGATCGATATTCGAGTACTTGGGAAAAAAATAAAACCATAGCATATTTTTTAATTTTCATCATTTTTTGGGGGGTCAAGCAAATTCTAACTTCAGATTTTAGTGTACCATTATCGATTATGTCAGTTACCCAGCATGAATTTTGGACTCCCTGTTTTGACAACAATTAAAGTCACTAGCACCTTGGTCAGTGGCAGCAACTTAGTTACATTAGCTTCATTATTCTAATGATGTAAATCTTATTCTGTTAAAATTATAGTGCTCCAGAAAAATGAATTCAATAAATTCATAGATTCTTACATCGTACATGTAACTTAGTCACAGGCTTCATTATTCTAATGATGTAAATCTTATTTTATTAAAATTAGAGAGCTCCAGAAAATGAACAAAAATCCATCAGTGAAAACTTTACATTGAATTACATATTTGAGACGATACAAGTTGCTTATTTAATCTTAGAATGTAAGCATTCGACCGCTACATGCATTTGACAATGGCAATTTAGTACTTTTTTTTGTAAACATCATTGATTTATATCTCATGTCAATAATTAATGTAGAGGAAATTCGAATAGCTCCAAAATCGATTTGTTTATAGCTTGTCTTCATGAAACATATACCGGATTCCATAGAAATAGAAATATATTGCAGTGTGTTTTAAAATTGTCATTAAAAAGGCGATATGACACTCAAAACTTACGGGCAAGGTTGAAATATTTTTGACGATTGATTCCGATAGTGTGACAGCCATGTTGTTGCTACCAAGCCACTTTGCGAAATAACGCGAACTTCTCGTTTTCCAAAACAGACGAAAATGTTGCAGTTTGCTATTTTATGTGGAAAATAATTGATTATTTGTTGATCTAAATGCATTTTCTATATCAGAAATCTTGCAAAATTGTAAAAGCGAGTGTTAATCTGATAAAAAGGCATTTACAGGTGTTTGTTTTGAAAAGTCACGTGATTGGAAACGAGGTTTTTGAGAGCATGCCAGTGTATACACATTTTGAGTTGACAGCTCGTAAAATATGGATTATGGAGTATAGATTGAATTAAGAAGTTGTAAGTTTGTATTTACACGCATTTTTAATACCGATGGCTTATATCAAGTTAATGGGATATCTGTTCTGATGTTGTGGATGGCATTTAGTGTTATCATCGGGAGCAAATGATGTGGTGATATGGTATATGTCAGGTGCTTGTTTTAATTTCAGTGCATCCACTGATTTATTGGCAATTCAGGACAAAATTTTGCAACTATTTAGTTCACATACATATATTCCTGAATTGAAATTTTAAACAAAATTCGGACTGTAAATGCCAGATTGATTTTCATTGCAGCACCCTATGCCTATTAAAAAATCCTCAGATCTTGTGGAAAAATAAAGTCGAATTAAAATGCTTTTAATTTTGACAGTTTAATGATGTGAAAATTTGAGTATATTCCAAACAATCAGTTAACATAAGCAGAAATCCTGTAATTCTTAGAGTAAGACAGAATTTTAAACTATGAACAGGTTTCATTTATTGCAAACCTATTCAGTAATATGATAATGGTGTGGTCACTAGATTGACGTGTGTGATGGTCAGTTGGTATATTGATATATTGGGTTTGACGTGTGTGATGGTCAGTTGGTATATTGATATATTGGGTTCGACAGGTGTGTGATGGTCAGTTGGTATATTGATATGTTGAGTTTGACAGGTGTGTGATGGTCAGTTGGTATATCGATATATCGGGTTTGACGTGTGTGATGATTAGTTGGTATATTGATATATCGGGTTTGACAGGTGTGTGATGATCAGTTGGTATATTGATATATCGGGTCTTAGTAGCTCAGTGGTTAGATCACCTGTCTAAATTTTGGGAGCCCAGGTTAGAATCCTGGTCTGGCACATTTTCTCCCGTTCTGTTACATTTGATGTCAGTGGCCACCCCTTAGCGTACAGGTGAAAGTCCTACCAGGGCAAACTCTGGGTCATGTCTCTTCAGGGTCGGAGAAATTTAAGGAGGGAGGAATGAGGCAATCAGGCAGATTCTATAGTTTATGGCTAGATATCTCAGTTGGTCAAGCCTGCCTATATTTTTAAGGGTCACCTGTTCAAATCCTTGTCTTGTCAATGGCATTTTCTCTTGTTACAGGTGTAACATGAGGTCATTTGAGGAAGCTTTAATTGTGATCTTTTAAAAGGTTACATTGATATACAGTTGAATTTTTGTAAATTAGTTCTTGAATATCCATACAGTTACTTTCATAATCTTGTATTTCAAATCAAGACTTGACCAATTTGCATGTAAGTATGATAAAACCCATCAGAAAGAAAGAGAGAGATTTTGTCATTTATTCCTCAATAGAAAACTTTCAGTGCCTGAATAAGTCAATTTTGTGAATATGAAAAACTATTGGTTTTGCTGATTAGAATTGTTTTTTGCCTTGAATAGGTTTGTTGTTTTCACCATCAATAATTTAGTGTGAAGTTCTCCAAAATTAACAATTGGCATTGAGTTTTAAACACTAGAAGCATACATACAAGCATTTTTGATGATGGATGATTTGATAATTTTTTATATACTTATGGGGAAATGCATAATATTTTAACAGCAGCTAATTACAGCTAATTTCAGACTGGTTCTGAGTCTAATTTTCTACCCCTGGTTGTACAAAGGATAGCTAGCAGCTGTCATCAGATGATAAACTAGATTTACTCCCTGTCTAAATAGGAATGATAAATGGTGTAATTGATAATGTTATTAAGGATTGGTTTAACAGTAAATTATATCACATGTATATGTATAATTAATTAGCATGCAGCATTTCCATTATGATACTGATATAAATGACAGCTAGTGGAACAAAAATAAGTCGGACATGTTTGGTTGCCTCTTTACTTAAGTTCATCAGACCTGGCATTGACTTTATCTACACAGAACAGATTATTTATAGATGATCTTTCATTAATGTTTTCAGTTTTGGTTCGTAGAATAAATATATTGATCCCTAGGTCCTGATAACTTCATTTTATGTATTTGCTCTAAATGGAGGAGCAGGCTGTGTGTGTATTTACTTTATGTGGGAAGAGAAATGGTAACCATGTTTAAATTGATTTTATTCAGACAATGGATAAGAAAACAAAAGATACCAAGAAAAAAGATGGGAAGTTTGTGTCAGCAGCAGCGGATGATGGAGACGGGGCCAAGGACAGGAATCCAAAACGTGCACAAAAAGCCGAGGCCAAGGACGTTAAACCTCCCACGGAGAGGAAGAAGCCGAAACACGTAGGAAATGATAGCAAGAGTGTGGTGGAAATGGGAACTCGTAAAGACACAGTATCACCCAATCTACGCAGCTCACAGACAGCTGGCAATGATACAAAAACATGTTATTTCTTTAAAGACGAGGACTATCGCTTCCCAGGAGTCAAAATTGCTCTAAATCCTCGCAAATACAAGAAATTTGATACCCTTTGTTTAGAACTGTCTCGTAAAATTCCAGGACTTGGTTTTGGAGTGCGATCTGTCACTACCCCTACAGGGCATACTCGGATATCAAATCTAGATGCTCTGACACACGAGGGTAAATATATCTGCTCTTCCAGTCGTGTGCATGTGAGGGGGCTAGACATGAGTCGTGTGGGTGGAAGAGAAGTTTGGCACTTTGCCAGACCCCCGAGTGGCAGAAGACTACTGAATCAAATTCTGAGGGAGGATGGGGAATTCAGGGAGCCTCGCTTTAAGAAATCCAAAAAGCCATATGATATGGCCACAGTGTACAATAGAAACCAACCTAAAAAGATCACGGTGCTGAAAAATGGTGATCCAACTTATAGACATGTGTTGTTGTTAAATCGAAGGACAGCACAACAGTTTGAACAAGTGCTTTATGATCTCAGTGAAATGTTTAAATTTGCTGTAAGGAAGTTATGTACAACAGAGGGTAAAAGGGTATGTTAGATTTATTTGGCTTGTGTAGATTTGACAATTTTAAAATATCAAGAAGTTTAACACTGAAAATGACATTTAACAAGGGTAAGGGTTTGTTTTGTGTTATTATTTCTATAGATTGGTGGGTTGAATCAGCTGTTTATGGGACCAGATACAGTTGTATGCTGTGGGTCAGAGCCTTTTAAACACATGGATGGAAGCGGGTACTATGCCACACCCAGAATCATGTCTCGTGTCTCCCTGAACACGAGAGGCTCTGATCCTGTAGCCAGTCGCATGAAGATGAAGAGAAACCGCTTGACCAATACAAGTAAGTAACAGCCACTGAGGACAAGAAACACAGTCACTAAACACTTAAGGAATGATATCTGCCTAATACAGCTTTGTAGATACAGGGGAACAATATGTCTTCCTTAACAATGCTAAAGATTTACGCTGTTATTCTGATCATGTTCCACATTTCTAAAACTAAGGAAAATGACTGATGTTTTTGTGAAATTATTTAAGAGGGAGAATGGAAGGTGACTGTGAAGACAAATGGACATCCATCAGCCTCCACACAAGCTCAGGTCACCATCACGGTGTACGGACACAAGGGGAATTCTGGTCCTATATCGCTCGGCAGCGGAGATGGCAGCAACTTCAAATCTGGTAGCACAGACGATTTTGATGTAAGCATGTGGACATATAGAAAATAAACGTTAGAATCAGGCAGAGTAGAAGATTTGCTCACAATCAAACTTCTTGGAGTTTTTTACTGATGACTTTTATTCTGTTGTAGATTTCAGTGGGAAATGTTGGTGAAATTTACAAGATTCGGATTGCCCATGATAACTCTGGAGATTCCCCGGGCTGGCTTTGTGATGAGGTAATGTGTTTATATATATTCATTCTATACACATTAGAAACATGAGTAAGAAGACTACTTATTTTGTGAGTGTTGTAATTTTTGTTTCCTGTTCAGATCAAGATGAAGGACAAGGACACGGATGAAGAGTTGACCTTCACATGTCGACGGTGGCTCGCGCGAGACGAGGATGATTATGAGATTTGTCGAGAGCTTCCTGCCGTCAGGAAAGGAGAACCAATTTTACCAGGTACATGTAGATTGTCATCCTGTCGGCTAGCTTATCATTGTTACCAATTTTACCAGGTAGATTGACAACATGTCATGCTATCTGAATCAGTGTAACCAATTGAAAAGACAAACTTGATGGCATTGGAGATAAATGAAGTGAATATATAATTAAGCTCCTGATAGAGTTTTGATTTTTTTTTTAATTTTGAAAGCATTATGTAATTGGTGATGTTGACTTTCAGTGGTGCGGTACAATGTGTATGTGACAACTGGTAACCTGTGGGGAGCCAGCACTGAAGCCAATGTTTACATGACGATGTATGGCGACCGTGGGGATACGGGGGTCAGACAGTTATATTCTCCCTCCAAAGGATGTTTTCAGCAGGGCAGGGTAAAAAAACTTACTCTAGGCATATAATAAAGTGGAGAAGGAGGTGGGGGTTAATGTCAAGGATTTTTTTTTCTTTTTGAAAATAAATTTTGATATTAATTTGTCTACCAGTATTCTTGCTTCAATTTTACATTGCTACGTGATTTTATCATAAATTATCCATGTAACAGAAACAAATTATTGTATGTAGGTACACGTATATATAAATGTAATGAACAATGATGTTTAAAAGTCATAAATCTTTAGATGTAACTGTATTTATAACAACTTGTTACATTTGTTTAGTCTCTTTATCTACTACATGTTCATGTATTAAGCTGAATATGAAAATCTGTGGGTATCTCAGATGACCTATGAAGTCATTATGTTTGTATTCCAGACTGATACCTTCACTGTGGAGGCTGTGTCCTTAGGTCACCTGAAGAGGATCATTGTGGGACATGATGGTACAGGGGGAGGTAAGGCAACTATAACACATACTGGTACATAATACACACTCAGTGTTTAAAGTGTATAATATTTTATATAGTTATACATAATACACACTCAATGTTTAAAGTGTATAATGCTTAAACTATAATTTAGTGAAGAAAAAAACTGTGTTCCAGTGATAATTTTCAAGACAATTTCCTAAATCCTTGTACAGAGCTCTTTTTTCCAGAAGATTTGAATAGTCTTAACATACTGATAGTTCATTACTTTACTGTCTGACAGGAAATGGATGGTACCTGGAGAAAATCGTGGTGAAGGAGCCCTCTGGTAGCAAAATGCACGATGAATCTGTCTTCCACTGTGGAAAGTAAGTGCAATATAGAATTAAAAACAAAAATTAATAAGCGAGGTTATTTATAAAGTCTCTCCATTATAATTCCACCAGATGCTCTCTGCAAACAAATTCAGTAAAATTATAGTATAAGATGAGCCCCCCCCCCCCCCCCCCCCAACTTGAGTGAATTTGCATATAGAGAAATCTTGTCAATCTGAACTCTAAATGTACATGTACATGCTTTTCCTTTGTGGTAACTTGCTCAAGAGCTTAAGTATGTATGAATTATCATGTGGAATTATTAGACTTGTGCTCATAAGAGAGATACCTTGACTGCAATAAATTAGCAAATATAATCATTTGGTATATTTTTTTAAGGCCAACAGATTTATTTTTATAGATGTGTTGCATGCAAACACTCACTTTAAATTGACTTTGTGTATAGATATAAATAATATTAGGTTTTTACTTTGATATTTTATTGTATAGATCTGCTGTATTAGGATGTTAGATGAGAGATTTTAAAAGTGTCCCCCATTAATCACGTAAACTTTCCGTTATTTAAGGTGGCTGGATGAAGGCCAGGATGATGGGAAGATTGTGCGTGAGCTAAAGGTTCAGGAAGAATATATGGACGATATCCTGGAGAAGCGAAATGTGAGTTTCCCTGACTCGTGATAGTGTGCTAGTTCCAGCACATCATAGCGTGCTAGTCCCAGCACTGGGTACCATGTATTGCATGTTTTCCTCTGTGTGCTTCACTGTTTTTTGTGCTGTTTAGCGGTATCAGGGTTTACGCCATCAGACCTTTGCTTTCTTACCTAATTGCATTATTTGAATGACTCAGAAGAAAATATTTTTAAAAATTTGATAAAATTATTTGTCTTAAAATTTATTTAAAAAAATTAACATGTGGATATTTGGCAGAGTTCCTCCATATTCTACTGTTTTCTTCTCTGTACCCTTTGCCTGTCTAACCAACTGCCTTTATTAAATGACTGCTGTCTCTGGGAATAGGGTGGTTTTTGACCTTATCAATGTACCTGTTTTTTAACCTGTAATTTATGAATAATCAAAGTTATAAATAACATCGGTTTATATTTATATTATATCTGCTTTCATGAACTAATGTAAAATATACGTCAGATATATCACTGGTACAGGAAGCAGAGGTGTTTTATGGTATTTTGTGTTTATATCAGCTACATTATTTTTTGTGAGATTTTTCTGTGTCTCCCTTACTGTTGAGTTTGTTTAGCACTTTACTGTTTCAGAAGTTTCTAGTTTGATAGAATGAATAACAATTTATTACTGATCTCGTTCAAATAAATACGTAATGATAATTTTTATATTTGAACATTAGAAATGAATTTTAATGTCCTGTTCTCTGTCCATTTGTGAATTAAGATAATATTTATTTATTTATTCCAGAATTATACATTTTATGTTTTTATGTGGTAGAAATATCTGTCAGAACTTTTATTATTTAATAGTTTCCTTTTTCTTTGCCCTCTATGTTGTAATAACGGATTGTCAGTTCTACAAAACTTTTCCCGTGTTTCTTCATTCTGATATGGTTAGACAGTGAAATGTTAATGTCTTAAGTTTATAGTTTTCCCAACTAATTTGATTTCCCAGTTAAAATTGGCTTGATGTAAAACTTGATTTTGAATGTCTAGTTAATATTGACTTGAATTTGGACTTGAATATCTAGTTAATATTGACTTGAATTTGAACTTGAATATCTAGTTAATATTGACTTGAATTTTCCTGATGTCTTGATAGATTCAGAATTGCAGTCCACTGGACTCCGATTATGTGAGCCTTACCCCGAGTGTACTCAATCACAAGTTCACTTGTCACTGAGTTTTCTTGAAACATCAGAAAGTCCTCACAATTATAACTACATTAGGTCTTCAATATTACACTGTCTAGTGATTATTTAAAGGCAATTCACATTTCTTTCACCATAGGATATTTTTTGGATCACGACAAAAATAAATGATTCAAATTAATAAGGATCATAATTTCATATTAAGTTTCTTCACTAAACTTGAGTATCATTTATGTTTAACAGTAAATTCCCTGTAGCATAATGTCTTTTGAATGTAAAACCCTGAGTGATCCTATGTACTGACTAACACTAACACTGATCTGAAATAAACACTCTGAACACCTCTGGAGTTTTTGTGTTGTCACTAATTGAGCCTCCTCTCTTCACAGTGGGAATATGAGAAGTGGAAATTTGAGAAGGACTGCCAGGTCAAACTGTACTCCCTGGCCTCGGGGAAAGCCATAAGGATCAAACAGAATGGGGCCATTGATGCACTCGGCAACGACCTGGATTTCCATGGTAGCTATCGTTTATAAACGCTAGAAATACGGCCTTAAAACTTTTACTGAGAGAGGATTGACTACAGCACTAGCTACATAAAGCTATGCAGAGCTACAATATTAAATGATATGCTAGCCTAGCTGCTATGTAAAGATAACAATTTAAGTGTTGATTTAAACAGTGCGTTCAATAGACAAATATCCGGCCTAGCAGCAAGGCTAGTGCTATGACATTAAATACAGCCTGATATTACGAATGATGCATTTTACTTGTTCAGGATTGGGTGTGTCTGTGTCCAGTTTTATACAATCACCATTTACTAGGTTATCTCTCACATTGGTTCAGCATGAGCAATTCCCTTTCTGTTTGAAGGAGAATGTTTGTGACTCGATTTTGAAATTTGGCATTTTCAAAAGATGACAGAAATAGTTTTGAGACTAAGTAACCCATGTAAACTCAGAAAGGAGCAAAAAATTTCAATATTTTTGTTATTGCAATATTAACACTTGAAAGTAAATTGCTGATCAATAAATTTAATTTGGAGCTTCAATCAAGAGAGCAGGATTGCATGCCACATTGGACAGTGTTAACTGAATTTTTTTTTGTCTATTTCAAATTTTGATGAGACAATAACCAATTAAGTAGAGTAAAATGAATTAAAGTAAATTTCCCAGTATTTTCATCACATGGTAGGCAAATAAACTCAGGGCTAATTTACAGTTTGTGGATAAAGGATTGAACAAAGTAATTACTTTTTATAAATTCTCTGGTGATTTTTTTTTATTTGACATATTTGATAAATTATTCATTAGTTTTCAAGGCAGGAATGACTAGCAAACAAAGGACAGTGTAACTATTCTCAGAATGATGGATAATCAAATAGGAAGACATTTACATGTTTATAAATAATTAAAAGCAATATAACTTATAAATATATGCAGGCCATGTAGAAATAATTGTAGCATGATATCATGATGACATATAATCAAATGGGAGGAAATTTAAGTTTTTATATAAGTGAAATAACTGATAAATTTATGTGAACTACGTAGAAATATCTTAGCTGGGTATTCACAGTGATATATGATTATTATATGGTGCTGACTTTATGTTTTATCAACTAGCCTCATCCTCTTTTATGTTTCTGAATGTATAATCGCCAGAAATTCTCTGAATGTTTTAAAATCATTAGTACTTTATTACTATGTGTAATATATTCAAATCTCTTGCCATATTTATCAGAAGTGTTATATAAAGTTAAAAGTTAACAGTATTACATTAAAGAATGAATTTCCTTTCCCTGCTACCTGTGTGGTTAACACATTTATTGTTATGAGTATTTTCAAAAGTATCTGAGGGTACAGTAAAAACACAGTACAGTGAACGTACTTATTGAATTCACAGTCAAGTGATTTTTATTCCTGTAGCATAAAAACATGAAAACAGACCAAAAAAACCCAAACAAAATTAAAATTGTCCTAAGCTTTCTTGGTGACATAAACGTTTGTTTTGTCTATATATAGCAGTGTTTAACGTGGTTCAGCGGAAGGTCATGGTCAGAATGTTCAACAGTGTCCCTGACCCAAACTCCTTCATCTCCATTGACAACGGAAAAATGGTCATGCATGTAAGTCAGTCATATCTGTACATGTCTTAAAAGTATGTCTCTGCAATGATTTGATAAATGAAGATATATACAATAAGCAAACTTAAGTGAGAAATCTTTGCTTTATTTGCTTTATTGGCAATTTACTGAAATTTAAGACAGAAGTCAGTTTACATACTGAAAATTTCAATAAAACATTGCATCTAGTTCATAGCCTTTCCTGTATGTCTAAATTCCTAATTCACTCGGGGACATTAAGCCCTCTGTTTTTATCCATCATCATCCACTGAGCTTTATTCATACACATCTGAAAATTTAAAATAGCTGAGCAATAGTATGTTTGGATGAAAGGAAACAAAGATGTTTGCATATCTTTACTTAAATATTAGTTTTCAGTACATTGAAATTTTGTTATCTGTTTGATGTAACATTGTAGAAGGGCAGTGGTCCATACTGTGAATTCAGACTAAGGGTTCAGGGGGACCGGTCCATTATGTTTGAGTCTGTGAAGAACCCACTACAATTTCTGACTTTTGGTGAAGATGGGCACCCGGAAGACGTCAGAGGAATATTAGACAAAGAAAAGACCAGGAGGTTCTATGTTTACTGCAAGGTGGGTTCTCAAGTTTTTATTGTTTGACAATACTCTACTAATTGTGATAATTTGCAAGCATCTTCATGTGTTCTATAATAACTTATTATAAATGTTCATGTATTAAAAACAGATTACCGGTATGTATAAAAACAAATTAAAGAAATATTTCTCATTAGAAATTAAAGAATGAGATGATTTTTGTTTAGTTTTGCATGTGTTAATTTTGTAGCATGTCATGATTACTAATTAGAACTCGGTCCCAGAGATAAGAATGTGGTTAATTTTTAGTGATTTTGTCGTAGGGTATGTTCAGACATAGAGGAGTGGTGATTTTCTCCACCTCCCTGTATCAGGCCATCAACATCAACTCCGATCTGTCAATGACTGCGCTAGGTACACCCTCCAGTAAAATGGCACAGTTCAGAGTTCACAAGGTCACAGAGAATGGGGTCAGAATGTTTGAAAGCATTTCCCATCCTGGAAAGTACATTCGCCTGAAGGACGGAAAGATTGACTGTCAGGTATAAGTCTGTATAATCAAAGTAATTTGACTGATATAAGAATCGTTAATCTAAAAAAGTGGAGTTTGAGAGACTTAAAAGACATTGACAAGATTGAATAACAGAAAAAATCTTTCAATTTTCTACGTTACCTAGTTCATTCTGTGCTTTCATCATTTTCATTGAACAATTTTAGCCAGACCATGAAATCGTCTGATCAACAAACTAATTTAGAATTGGATGAGATGTCTGTCATAAATTAACGTAATCCACAAAATTGTATTTTTTTGCCAAAATCACATAAAAATAAATGAAACCTCAGTATTTAAATGTACATGTCACTTCACACCATTTGATCAGTTTTGCATTGGCAATATCATCTGTTTTGTGGAAAACAGCACAACCTGGATAAAAAAAAATCATGCTCACAATTGTATTTGACTTATAATTGATTGTATTTAAAGGGAATTCGAGATGAGGCCTCACATTTTATTGTGGAGAAACGCAGAGCAGGGGGATATGTGAGCTTGCAGTCAGCTTCACAGAGAGGCTTGTATCTGGGAATGAAGCCTGATGGGAGAATCTGGCCGACAGTGGACACAGGGGTCAACAATGTCCACCTGTACCCACAGGTTGTGGAATGTAAGAAAGCAGTATACATGTACATGTATTTTACTTGCCTTTGCACCCTTTAGAACTACAGTCTTTAATGTTTTGTCACATTGTTATAAATAAATATTATAATTCCACAGTGTAAGGGAGACAAACCTATATTTTTATGGAAAAAAAATGGAGGATTATTAGAAATTTTGATGTGGAATTGATATTCATCAGCAAAATGTAAACGAGAATTAACAAAGTCTATCATTACATGCCTTGCTTCTGCATAAAATGAACACAAAAATACAACAGTTAAAACCTTATTTAAGTAATTAATGTTTTATTGATCCCCCCATCCTGATTGACAGGGGGAGCGAGGAAGACACCTAGCATTGCTGAGGTGGAAGAGGAAGAAGAAATGGAACCAGCGATAACGGAATCTCCACTGATAGCGACCCCACAGCCCATTAAACCAGGCCATGCAGGTCGGTACTAAATCATCCAGGACAGGATTTCTCAGAAATTTCTTACCCCCCTAAATACTACATGTAGCTGATAAGACTTCATTTAAACATGTTCAGTCCCTCCAGATTAACTATCACAATGGAATAACCCCCCATCTCACATTAATGTTGATTTCCTGACCTTGCAGTGTTTTTGACCGAGGATGCTCAATATCGAGTTGGGGGTAAGTATTGGATATTAAGTTTCAGTAACCCACCCTGCTTTGCTGCTGATATGACCTAACCAGTGTTAACAAATAACCCTATGATTCATTGATATTGACAGATGCACATTTATGATTTTATTTTCCCAAATATATAGGTGCTAAAATCACTTTGTATACCCAGTATTTTTACATCTTATTGCTGCAGTTAGGATTAATTTCACCACTTTTAATATCCATTAACCAAACATCATGTATCCACCTTGATACATCATTAGAATTCTTTTATTATTATAATTGCATCATAAACAAAGGGAATGAAAAAATAAATATTTGAGATTTGCAAGTGTTCTATAGTTGTGGGTCCTATTTTCCAAGGATAAGACTTTAATGTTTTGAATGCAGATTGTTGCTTTTTTCCTTCCTCTTTGTGGATAATCTTTTAAGTCAAGAAATATTTCCAATAAATGTAGAGAAAAAAAAAAGTCCTCCGATATCATCCTAAAAGTTAAAGTGCACGGGGTTGTAGATGGTTTTTCCTGACCAGGCTTATCTCCCTTAGTTACCTGTGATAGTTGAATATACATATGTCATTAGATAGAGGCTGTGCCTTGTCTTGGAAATAATTTTTTTGAGATTGATGGATGTTGGTTTATATGATGTCAGGTTTAATCAGAAATAAGTTGTAACAAGTTAGATTTTTGTTTTGTTTTAGTAACATCTTAAGGTAATAAGTCACATACACCATAACACTCTGCCTGCTTCACTTCCTGTCACTCTCCATCCCTTGTCTCTCTTTTGTACACACCCCTTTGTGACCTTGACCTTGTGAATCAGTCTCTGACCTTTAGTATTTCACTCTGTACTAGATTGAGTGTATATTTTAGGGCGAGGCAGCTTTGTATTATGATCCTGTGTCTTGAATTGACTTGACAATGAGCTTTATTACATGCCTGTAACAATGCTGCGTTGTTTTTTTATTTTGATTTTTTTGAAACAGTCTAGACGAATCCCCTAAATGGAGTCACCAGAAATAACAAGAGGCCCAAGGGTCTTAATAGTCACCTTAGTATAATACAACCCTGAGCAGGAAAGGTTTTCGAAGAAATAATGCATTTTCATAATCAATAGAGTCCCACCCTGACACCAGAATCCCTGACCCAGGGGTCTTGAATTTCACAATTTTGTACAAGGCATTCCTGCTTATTATAACTCTGCACTTCAATTTTCTGCAAAATATACAAGGGGAGAGAAGAAGATAAGAATATTAAATGCATTTTCACTTTAAGATTAACAGGGCCCTGCTCTAATACCAGAAACCCCTGACCCTGGGCCAAAAATTTCACAATTTTGGAAAAGGCATTCTTACTGATTTTAACCATGTACTTAGTGTATCTGCTAAATACCCAGGAGCAGAGAAGGTTTTCAAAGAAATAATGTATATTCACTGTATAATCAATAGAGCCCCAACCTAACACAAGAACCCCTGACCCAGGGGCCATGAAAAGCACAATTTTGGAAGAGGCAACCTTGCTCATCATAACTTTGCACTCAGTTTGCTTAATATTTAGGAGCAGGAAGAAGATTTTTCAAAAAAATAATGCATACTCACTATAAAATCAATAGCGATGCATGATGGAGCCAAAGACTCTGTTTTCGGCATTCACTCCATTTCGGAGTTCGTCTAGACTGTTTTATAATTACTATATAAACACATCGCTATTAAAACTCTTCATTTCAACAGCTTTTCCGCATTTATTTCTGTCAATCAATTATGTTTTCTATCATAGAACTGAATTATAAAGGACATATTCTACTGAAATTTTAGCTTAGAGTGTATTCTGAAAGAATTTCATTACATTATCACAAGACAGGAACCATTTATACCCATTATAGTCTGACTTAAACATCGTTTTTGAATTGGGTTCAGAATGAAGTATGCCAAGCTGTAGAAACCTTATCCATCAACTCATAAAAGTGTGAAGCAGTTAAATTTTGCAAGCAGTTAATTTTTAGATATTTCAAAAAAAAATTTTCAACAAATTTCAATACAATTGTTTTAAACTTTGTCTTGAATAGTTATACATATTACCATAAACCAACTTTTCTTTACAATAACTTTTATTTGCAATTTTTAAGTTTGAAATCTATCTAATGACTAACTCCACTTACTAATTGTTCATTATAAATACACATTAAAATAAAAAGTTTGTGGTGAGAAATACCAGCCAGTGTAGGAAGGTCCTGGAAATTTCACAATAAACACGTCAAATAGAAGTTGGTTTACACTAATTAGGTCTCAGTCATTTCACAGGAAAAGTAGCTCTGAAGGAGTTCCTGGCCAGTGGGATAAATCTGTGACCACGAGACAAGGAATATGTACATGAAAACATCCCTTACTGTAGCTAGCTGTTGTATGTGTTATGAGTACATGTTTGTTTACATTTTTGTCGTGCTTTTGATAGAGGACGATTGGAACATTCATGTGTCCACCATTGAGGAGCTGATGAACGCAGAGGTGGCGCTGGTGGCGTACGGAGACAATGGTAATTCTGGAGCCATCAGATTAGAGGCACCGCCAGGGAGAGAGATTTTCCAGCCTAACAACGAGGATGGATTCAGGGTGTGTTTCCATAGCTATTGGCAAAAATTGTGGCATTTTTAAATGTCAATAACAGTAAAACATGCTTATAATGAATTGACACATAGAGCGAAGTGATTTTCATTCCCCGTGACTTTAAAATATATTCTTAACTTAACGGATAAAATGAACAACACTAAATTATAACGAAGCAAAATTGCCAATCCCTGGCACTTTGTCATGGGTGTGTTTTACTGTAAATATGTTTGGAAGAATTTGTTTCTGAATGCTGAGGAGTTCTGAAAAAAAAGAAAAATCTATTTTTGAAGAATGTAAATGGTGTTACATATATACTTTTGTAATTTGGTTATAACAAAGGTACAGTGATATTTGTTTTCTTTTTAGTCCACTCTTAAGGTTGGCAAGTTCTACAAGATTCGTCTAGAGCTACTGCCAAAATCCTCATCAAAGAAACCCTCATGGAAAGTTAACGAGGTCAGGTTAACAAATGTGGTCACTGAGCAGACCTTTGTCTTCACGTTTAACCGCTGGCTGTCCCGTGAACACGAGGATATGGAGATAATGAGGGAACTTCCTGCCATCTGGCCAGGGGAGGAAACTCCTCCAGGTAATCCTAGTTTATTGGATATTTGTGTTTGGTGTTTTCTTCAGTGAAATCCGTTTTGTGGTGTTAATTTAAAAAATATGATTATTCTGGATTAAAAACAAAATGTTCCATGGAGTAGTTATGTGCATGCTGAATTGTGTTTCTGCTTCCAGTGTTTAAGTACTATGTTGTGGTTCATACCAGTAATGTTATTGAATTGAGTTCACACCGGTAATGTGTTTATACTGGATTGTGTTTTTACTTTCAGTATTTAATTATAATAAGTACTAAGTTGTGGTTCACACCGGGGATGTGTTTTATACTGAATTGTGTTTCTACTTTCAGTATTTAAGTACTATGTTGTGGTTCACATCGGTGATGTGTTATAATGTGTTTATACTGAATTGTGTTTCTGCTTTCAGTATTTAAGTACCATGTACTGGTTCACAACGGTGATGTGTTTATATTGTGTTTATACTGAATTGTGTTTTTCTTTCAGTATTTAAGTACTATGTACTGGTTCACACCGGTGATGTGGATGAAGCGGAAACCAATGCTGAAGTTTATCTAAATATTTTTGGAGAGACGGGAGACACAGGGAAAAGAGTCCTCCTTAACTCAAACAACATCAACAAGTTTAGGAGTGGGCAGGTATAACTAGACAAGCTGTTCTGCAGAATATCAAACCTAGTAAATATATGTAACTGAGACAATACACATATAACTACCGGTAATCAGGGCAGAATTCTGTAACTCAGTACATGAACATTTTTCTCCGTCAAATTTTGAATTTTGACAAAGACGTATACCACCTTTGTTAAATATTTTTTAACTTCATTTACTTTGTTTACAGGTGGACATTTTTGAGATTGAAGCTGTGTCGCTAGGGAAGCTGGAGAAGTGCATTGTGGGACACGATGGAACAGGAACTGACCAGGGTTGGTTCTTAGACAGAATCACAATCAGGGAAAGTGAGGAATCCAAAGAAGAATACATCTTCCCATGTGAAAAGTAAGAATTGATCATACAGCACTAATACTAAACAGCACTAATTGTGAAACTTACAGTGTATACCAAAAGTAAGAATTAATCACACAGCACTAATAATAAAACTTACAGTGTTTACCAAAAGTAAGAATTGATCACACAGCACTAATTATAAAACTTACAGTGTATACCAAAAGTAAGAATTGATCACACAGCACTAATAATAAAACTTACAGTGTATACCAAAAGTAAGAATTGATCACACAGCACTAATTATAAAACTTACAGTGTATACCAAAAGTAAGAATTGATCACACAGCACTAATTATAAAACTTACAGTGTATACCAAAAGTAAGAGATCACACAGCACTAATTGTGAAACTTACAGTGTATACCAAAAGTAAGAATTAATCACACAGCACTAATACTAAACAGTGGTTTATAAAACTTACAGTGTATACCAAAAGTAAGAATTGATCACACAGCACTAATACTAAACAGCACTAATTATAAAACTTACAGTGTATACCAAAAGTAAGAATTAATCACACAGCACTAATACTAAACAGTGGTTTATAAAACTTACAGTGTATACCAAAAGTAAGAATTGATCACACAGCACTAATTATAAAACTTACAGTGTATACCAAAAGTAAGAATTAATCACACAGCACTAATACTAAACAGTGGTTTATAAAACTTACAGTGTATACCAAAAGTAAGAATTGATCACACAGCACTAATAATAATCAGTGATTTATAAAACTTACAGTGTATACCAAAAGTAAGAGATCACACAGCACTAATTATAAAACTTACAGGGTATACCAAAAGTAAGAGCTCACACAGCACTAATTATAAAACTTACAGGGTATACCAAAAGTTAAAGATACACAGCACTAATGATAAACAGTGTTTAATAAAACTTACAGTGTATAACAAAAGTAAGGGATGACACAGCACTAATACTAGACATTTACAGTGTATACCAAAAGTAGGGATGTGCGATATTACTGATATATCAGTTTATTAAAGTATTAAACCCAACAATAATAGATCACAATATTTTTTTTCAAGACAGTAATTAATGATATGCTAAGCAGAAGTATTACATAAACGCTAAATATGGTGTATCTGAATTCAAAACTCAGTTACTCGGCTGCTTTAAAGGATTTTATGCACCCCATAATCGAAGATTCAGGGGTATATAGTTTTTGCCCTGTCTGTCCTTCTGTCTGTCTGTTTGTTTGTCCGCAAAAACTTTAACATTGCCCATAACTTTTGATTGGTTGGAGCTGTGGCTTCGAATTTCACATGTGTGTTCCTTGTGACAAGACCTTCCTTTGGGTACTAACATATTTGACCTTTTGACTTTGGAGTTTGACCAACTTTTGCAAAAATTTACCCAACTTTAACCTTGGCCATAACTTTTGAACAGTTGGTGCTAGGGCTTTCATATTTCACATGTGCATTCATCGTGACAAGACCTTTCCGTGTATTTAAATATTTTTGACCATTTGACCTTGACCTTAGGGTTCGACCCACCTTTAAAAAACTTTTACCTTGGCCATAACTTTTGAACAATTAGCACAAGGACTTTCAAATTTCACAGGTTTATTCTTTGTGACAAGACCTTCCTTTTGATACCAATAGTTGTGACTTTGACCTTGACTTTAGAGTTTGACCTTCTTTTGAAAAAAATTAACCTTGCTATAACTTTTGAACAGTTGGTGCAAGGGCTTTTATATTTTGCATGTGTATTTCTTAAGACAAGGTCTTTCCCTGCATAGTATTAATTTTGACCCTTTAATGTTGACCTTGGAGTTTGACCCACTTTTAGAAAACATTAACGTTGACCATAACTTTTGAATGGTTGGTGCTTGGGCTTTCATATTTACCAGGTATATCCATTTACACAAGTCCTTTCTTTGGGTAACAACATTTTTGATCTCTTGACCTTGACCTTGGAGATTGACTTGCATATGAGAAACTTAAACCTTTGCCATAAGCCCATACAGGGGCATCAGTGTTTCACAAAAACATCTTTTTTTTTGTTATAGACATTGCTACAGTGTTTAAAAATTAAGAATGGAATCAGAAGGATTAATATATATTATGAGGATAACGTTGTAAATTTAATTCAACAACAATGTATTATATTTTTCCAGAATATTTACTCTAAACAGTTTACGATTTCCTACTTTTGTTTATCAAAATGGCCGACAAGAAAACAATTTAAATGATCTCTTTGATTGTGATGCTTTAATTCTGAGTCCACATTGGAGTACACATACGTTAAAAAAATGAAATAAAAGCTGAGATATGCAAGTGAAATAATCTGGTGGCATCTTAAATTTTTATGAAGATATCTGTCAATTGTCTTTGCAAATATTATATGTAAACACGTTGATCCCCGGCAAAAATATCTATGACTACTAATTCAGCAGGGAGCTATGAAACCAAGTCAGCAAACATTCTCTAACGTTAAATGATCAGAACCAAGATAGGGTATTTTGGTTTAATTGGAATGAATAAAATACATGTTCATCCAGTTTACTTTAAACAACTGTTAAACTTTTAAGAGAAATGGACTGCAATGCATTATATTGCAATATGGCATCAAATATTGCAATATATCGCAATATAATTTTTCTGGCAATACCCACCCCTAACCAAAAGTAATTCAGATCCTGTTATTCAAATCATGAATTAATAATGTAATGGCAAATATTTAAACAATAATATTTGAATTTTAAAGTGCTAATAATACTAGTAGTAAAATCTGATGATGAATTTCAAAAAAATGGTATGGAAGGCCATCCTAGCTTTCAAACAATCCCATTTGCAAATTTTTATTTGCTTAGTTTATAAAGTGATATCTTTAAATTTTTGAAATGATAGAAGTACAAATTTTGATGTTATTAGTGCTGGTACATTCGAGAAGTTATAGAAGTACATGAATATTTTCTAGATATATTCATGCCGTTTTTTTTATGCATATATACAAAATATTTTGCAGGTGGCTAGATGTTAATAAAGAAGACCGGCGCATTGAGCGAACCTTGGCTGTCAAGGGTAGGTGATGGTTGACTCCCTGACCTCTGGCTTCCTAACCATAACCTTGCCAGTAAGGGGGATTTCCCCCACCTCAGCACTCCCTCCCATAGCCTGTAGACATTATAATATGGTGCTATGGCTTATCCTGTGATGTATTAATGTTCTGTGATATTATTCTGGTGTAAGGGGAGACAATTTATAGCTTAGGTCAGTAAATAACAGGTTGAGGCTTCTGATAGATTAACTGAACGAAGTAGCTACTATTTACACTAAAAATATAAGATTATAATTTTTCTCGCACATAAATAATAAACTATAAAGGGAGGTAACTCTGTACAAAAGAAGTTATTTAATCCAATTTCTTTTCTTCGGAAATTTATTTGTATTGACTTATGTATGATATTATATTAAGAAAGAAATTTAGGGAGTAGGAATATATGTATATTTAATTTTTACCAAGGATTGTATACCATATGTTGTCAAGTAAAGAATATTTCATAGCTGCAGTCACATGACAATGCATAAATGAACAATCTTTGTCCAGGAAAGTAAAATGATGGGAAAAAGGAGAGATTTTCTTTAAGGACATGTGTTCAGACATTTGATTGGTTTAATCTCAGAACTCATGCATGCTTGTTTGATTTCAAATCATACTTTAACTTGTAACAATGTAACATACCAAACATTATAATTTCAGGTTAAGTATTGTGTTGCATGCCTAAAATTGTACATCATTCACTAACATAAATGCCATGGAATAATTTTAAGACAAGAAAGCATGTTATATTTATAACAATACTCACAGAGTGCATGATATGTTTTATATAACCTGTCATTGTGTAGTGTATAATACTCAAAAATTACAAATATATTTAACAACTGAGAAGAATATTTTTTGCCAAAATCATTCATTCATTGAAATTTACCATTATAACTGTCAACAGAAAATTACACTGTAGCTTATGGAAATGTGTTAGAATTTTATGTTATATGGAATGAAGTATTTGGGCCTTTTAATATTATTAATGTGCCATAGAAAGGAGTGAAATAATTTGACACGATAACTATATAAGTGTTCAATGGTTTTTGATATAATTATAAATTTATGTTTCAAAGAATAATGACTTAATCCAGGTGCCATTTGTCTTAAAAAATCAAAGAACTACGCACGCTAACTTTAGATTCCCGCCTACATTTTACACCCATTTAATTCAATACTTATGACAATTTGACCGTAAAATCTTTGTTGAATGCAAAAAACAGTTCAATGGTAATTGACTGATAATTTTAATGCCAGTGTTAAATAGTTAATTATTCCTAATTCCAGCTCTTAAAATAAGGGGGGTAGACGATATTTTCCATTGAAATCGGGCTTGAAAGCATCAACACATTTTAAAATATTCTTGGATATGAATAAATGTTCCTAAAATCTTTTCTTATGTTTTACGCATATAAAATTAAACATATATTATTTAAAAAATACAATATTTCAGTTGTAAAACCCTTTGAAATTGGTGAAAAAATAAGCATTTTTTGTAGTTTTTTGCCTGTAAACATACGTTCCCCCCCGTGAAACACAAAAAGCTTTGGTATGAATTTGTAAAATGACAGTCCATATTACGTGTAAAAAGGAATTTTTGTTACACGGGGGGGGGGGGGGGGGAAGATGTTTTAAAAATATTTTCCGTTTTCCGTTGATTTCTATTGTGAAAAGCACAAGTTTTACCCAAATTATAGGGTTACCTCTCTTTGTTTTCCCAAAGCAGTAATGTTTTATGAAAATTCATATAAATATTTATATAAATAAGAAAAATCATCAAAATATGTTAACTTTTGAAAATCAACTTGGAGGTAGGCGGGAGAACAATGCTATCGTTCGCAGTTCTTTGTATGTTTTAAGTTCACTATATATAACAATCAATTTAGTTTCCCAGTGAGTTATTTTTTAGTTATTTGTACATTATTCCCCTGCCTTTTATGCTAGTTTGTTGTGGAGATTGAATTGTCAATATCCTCCATTAGACAACGAATCCTATGTACGTGAATTGATAATAAATGTGGACAATCTGATCTGATGTGTGTTTTATCCATTTTACCAGAACCTGCCCCCTTCATTAGATATTCTGATATCAAGGGTAAGACATTTTAACCACGATATCTAACCATCAACATTGTATGATTTACCTAAAGACCAACACCATACAATTTCATATTAACCTATACTTTTTATGCAATTTAACCTGTGTTGCTGGAAACTTAACAAAAATCCCGCATAAGACCTTTTGGAAGATTGGGATCAAAATGTATTGTACAAAGCTGTTAATACATTTCACAACCTGAGTGTATCTAGTCACAGAACACTGACTTATTGGAGACAGCATCTGATAACGTAACCAACACAAGTCACTTGATGAGCAGGTCAAATCAAAATTTTTTTTTGTTTTATTTTCTGTATTTTGACATACACAAGAAAATTCCAGTATTTCTGATGTGCTTGCACATGTAAATGGCTTTGCATAAAATTAAATATATATTAGCTTCCCAGGTATTTGAATTTAAACCTTTATAATCAAGTGCATGATGGCTAAAAGTAAGTATATTGATTATAATGAGTAGTATCAGTTAATGGTGGTGTTTCTTTAGCTATTATTGTGATTTTTTCCCCCACTCTATGATGGAGTTTCATAGCTGCATGCCAAACGTGAATGTTGTGTACGTGATGTCACGGCAATTGGTGATGGTACTTAGTATTTGTTGCTTGAAGTTGATAATTGTTGTCATGGTAATTTGGATGTTTTTGTTTTCAGTTTTTTAAAAAAAATCTGTTGTACTGAATTGGAAGTTGTATTTATTTTGTTGTTGTTTTTTTTTTTATAGTACTAGGAAGACTTTTACATTGAGCCATATCTTATGATTTGATTTCAAAGTTTAAAAGTCTGTTGTTGGAATTAGAATTTTTTTTTTAATTTTTTTATTTTATTTTTATTTTTTTTTTAATTTTTATTTATTCATTTATTTTTTATAATTTTTTTTTTTTTTTTGGGGGGGGGGGTATTTTATTTTATGAAATAACAGAGATTATGACAAAAAGAAAATAAACACAGTGCTTCTTTATGCAATGAATAAGTAAATGAATAAACATAAGGGGAAAAAAAAACTTTTGAAAGGGAAAACTATTATTACAGTAAAATTTGTCCAAACCCAATATTGTGTATTTTGAAATCTTGCCCAATATGATGAAAACTTTCAGTCGCTTTCAACAAATTTATTTGTTTAAAATGTCCTAAATCTTGCCTAATATGAACAATTGTCCAGGTTAAACAAGTAGTGTAGCATATTTTAAAAGAAGTCCAAGTTAAAAAAAGAACCAAGAAATTACCTGATTTTTTATAAAAAGATTGGCAAAGAATAATGTAAAGTGATTGAAGATGTGATATTATGTTTATGCTTTTCAGTATTGTATTTTCCTAGGTAGGAAATATGAAACACAGAAGTTTTTATTGGTTTTAGTAATTTGAAATAAAAGTGATGTCTGTTGTAGAGGTCCTACCTGTTCAAGTGGACACCATTATAGAAGAGGACGAAGAAAACACCATCAAGGGTACGTTAACGATAGACCAAATACCGTATAAGCAGAAATTTTAGCAGGGATTCAATTTTGGCATTTTTAGCAAGGTTTTTGAGATGGCTAAAATTAAATATTGCTAACAATTCATTCCCACATTTGAGGTTACTGTTACTTTTCAAGGCATTACAAAATCGCTAAAATTACTTCTTGCTCAAATTAAATACAGATTTGTTAGGAGAAAGCGATAAATTTGCGTCTCGCTAAAAATTCCACTTAAATAAGGTATTACGATGAATGACCAGATATTGCAATGTCAGAATGATGTGTTGTCTGCAAGTAAAATACATTCAATCAAAATTTGAATTCATTTTGCACAGTTCTTTTAGTGTGCAGGTTTTTTTATCAGATGAATCACTCAGCTGATCTATTACGATAAAAATCGATGTTTTTTTTTTGTCAGTCATCCAGCACTGTCTGTTAACATTAAATTCACTGGAACCGCTGAATCAATTTTAATGGATTTCAATTGTTTTCATGCTAAATTTTACTATGAAAAGTTATGTCTTCCTGATCAAATCAGAGGGCTCACAGCGGATGTAACCTGTCAACAGGAGATGTGTACTCCTTGGCACTTGATCCCACCTCTGGAATTTCCAGGGGTTCATGTTCTATGCCCTGTTTACAGAATATCCTCTGTAGATTTTTTTGGATTACTGTTCATTATCTACACTTTTTTTTCATTCAGAGGGAGACTGGAAGATCTGGATCACCACTGGTAAGGAGGAATCCATGGCAACCAGTAACATGGTTTTCTTATATGCCTATGGAACCAATGGAAGTGCTGGACCACTGAAGCTTGGGAATGGGAAAGATGGCTTTTTCAGGGCTGGAACTACAGACATAATTAAGGTACTAATTATACCCCCACAAAGGAAGTACTGGGGGATATGTGGGAATCACCTTGTCCATCTGTCTGTCTATTTAGCTGACCATCTGTCTCTGCAATCTCGTCTGGGCTATAAATTTGTAATGAAGAAATGTTGGAAGCTCATACTTGAAACAAAGATTGTTTATGATCTGAAAGTGTGTCATGACTTTGTTCCAAGGTCATTCTAGCAAGCTCAAGGTTACGAGCAGAACAAGTATAAAATTATTGTCAAGGCCAAAAGTTTATAATGAAGAATTATTGAAGGCTCGTATTTGGTACAAAGATTATTTTTTGACCTGAGATTGTGTCAGAATCTTGACCCAAGGTTATTCTGGCAAGGTCAAGGACACTGGCAGAAAAAATATAAATTTCTTCTCTTGTCTACAACTTCTTTTTGGAGAAACATTGGAAGCTCATACTTCATACAAAGATTGTTTATTATCTGCAGGTGTGTTTTGACCTTAAACCAAGGTCATTTGATCAAATTCAAGTTCACTTATAGAAAAATGTTAATACATGTAATACGTGTGATTGGAGGCTATGTATTGACCATAACCCAAGGTAATTTGAGCAAATTCAAACGTCACTGGCAAAACAGTGATTTACTAGATTCCTGTCTTTTACTCTCAAATGGAGGGTAATTGGAAGGTGATGCTTGACACAGAGACTGCTTATGACTTACGGGTGTGTCATGTTCTAATCCAAGGTCATTTTGGCAAGGCCAATGGTAGAAAAAAGTGTTAAATTTGTATCCAGCTGCAGTCTATAACTTTCTACTGGAAAAACATTGGGAAGGTCATAATTTCACATAATAAATATGTCTTGAGGTTTGTCATGACCTTGACCCAAGGTCATTCTGGCAAGTTTAAGGTAACCGGAAGGAAGACTATAAAAATTTTTGTTGGAAGTTGAACAAAAATTATTCATAAGCCAAAAAGCATGTCACAACTTTGACCCAAGTTAATTGTGACAAGTTCAAGGTTACTGGCAGAAAAAATGTTTAATTTATGACAGGTCTATAATTTTCCCATGGAGAAACATTGAATGTCCCTATTTCTCTCAAAGATTACTTTCAACCAGAGGATGAGTCTTTTTTTTTACCAAGGTCAATTTTGCAAGTTTAAGGTCACTTTAACAAAATTCTGAATAGGCACTTTTGAAAATAGGCAGAGGTGGGTATAATTTTAGGAGATTGCTTACAGTACCTCTAGTTGAAGATTCTTTAAATAGATAGGAAAAAATATCATGTAATTATGAGGGAACAATCACAATATCAAACCCTGCAAGTACGAGTCAAAATCTGCACGATCTGAAAATTAATATGTAGTGAACATATCTTCAGTGCCATTCCAAGTGTTTCTATTATTCATAAAATGGCACTTTGATAATAATGACTTCATACTTTTCTTAGTATTCTGTTCATTGTTTATTGTAGATGTCATTTGGCAGTGGTGCAGGGCAGGTATATAAAATCCGGATTGGACACAATGAAGCCTACCCAGAGAGTGGATGGTTTTTAGAGAGGGTCAGAATACAATTTTCCTGTTGTTTAGATTCTCAAAAATCCCCAGTTTGATTTATAATGTGGGATAATCATTATTATGTTATCATGATCACTAAATATAAGAGTCCTCCATTATGTTATATAGCTGAAGCTTCAGGACTGCTCTAACGGTGACGAGTTCAACATTGAGGTCAACAGATGGTTGTCTCGTTCCCATGACGATGGTGATGTGTGGAGAGAATTTGCAATCTCCCAGATTGGAAAAGTTTTACCAGGTACAATGATTTTTATTGATCTTACATAACTGGTACTTACATGTTGTTAAGTAAAGTGACATCATGAGAAGTTATTGCATATATTTCCTTAAATGAGTTGAAATGTAGAACAGTTGAATTGATATTCAAAATTGGTGCATCATAACATCTTTTACGAAGGAAATCCATACAGTCAAGAATACATTGTCATTTATTGATCAGTGTTGGACAAGTTCAAAAGGGTGTGGTTTCTCTATTGTAGTGGTGACATATTCTGTGGAGGTGTACACAGGGTCAGAGGAGGCAGCCAGCACCACCGCAGGGGTTTTTATCTGTATTTATGGAACACGTGGTGACACAGGCAAACGCAAACTGTTCAAGTCAAAAACGTCTAATGACCCATTCCAGAAAGGGGCTGTGAGTATTTTAAAAAGACTCTTTATCCCGCCTTTAATTTTAAAAATCTTGAAATTTCATTGGTCAAAAAGAATTTTACAGTAAAACACACTTACAGTGAATTCACTGATAATGAATTGACACATACAGCGAAGTGCTTTAAAAAAAAATTCATTCCCTGTCGGTTTAAAATATACTGTAAACTTAATTGATATAGCAAATTATGTTTATAATGAAGCAAAATCATCCATCTCTTGAACTTTGTTATAAGCATGTTTTACTGTATAGAAATCCATATTATGCTGCTGACATCACAATGTAAACAAAAGAACTTTATCAAAAAATCTTTGACAGGATTAATTCGTTTTGTAGACACTTTTAGTGGTAACACAGAAATATATTGGGTCTTTGAAAAAATGCATATTGGGCTCAGCTACAAGAATAACCTGTTTTATTCTACACCCGATGTTAGTCATCCTGTGTTTATTTAATGAGTGTACTGGACCTGTATTTCAGCATGACGTCTTTGAGTTGGAGGCGGTCTCCCTGGATGAGGTGGACCACATTGTGATTGGTCACGATAAGAAAGGCTCCGACCCGTCCTGGTTTTTGGACAAGGTCATCATAAGGTCAGAAGAAAAACCAGACAAGGACTACAGATTTACCTGTGACAGGTAGGCAGGCCTATACAGGGAGTTTTACTTTGATCAATAAAGGTTTGGGTTAGGGCTGTCATGGTTCCCTGAAATAACCGAAAACCACAGTCCAAGTTGTTCGGTTCGGTTTCAGTTCCATTTTTCCAGATTTTGGTTCAGATCTGATTTATACACAGAATATGTTCTTTCAAAAAATGGCGTCCAAATCAAAAGAAGGATGATGATAACAGTGATAAATAAACATCACAGCTGAATTCTACTTCATTCTATGACAAAACACTTGTCACGAAAGGATTAGATAATTATCAAAACTAGCAAGAATGGTCAGATTGAAGCTAATAGTTGGCCTAGTAGTCCTAAACACCGAAGTCAAGACATTAACACAGATAAGATTTGTTTTAAAGGTGAATGTAACGCTACAAATAAAGATTTTTATGCCCCGCCATGAATATGGCCGGGGCATATAGTGTTTGTCATGTCCGTCTTCTGTCCTTCCGTCCTTCCGTCCTTCCGTCTGTCCTTCCGTCACACTTTGCGTTTAGCTCTGTTCAAAGCTCAATTTCAAAGATACCATTCAAGATATTTTTATCAAACTTCATATGCTGATAGATATTGATGAGAGCTATGCAACTGCATCAACATTTTTTGACCTTGACCTTTCTTTTGACCTTGACCTCACTTTTCTTAAATTAGTGTTTAGCTCAGTTTTAAAGATACCATTCAAGGTAGTGTAATCAAACTTCATATGTTGATGCATACTGATGTAAGCTATTCAACTGCATCAACATTTTTTGACCTTGACCTTTCTTTTGACCTTGACCTCACTTTTCTTAAATTAGTGTTTAGCTCAGTTTTAAAGATACCATTCAAGATAATGTAATCAAACTTCATTTGTTGATACATACTGATGTAAGCTATTCAACTGCATCAACGTTTTTTGACCTTGACCTTTCTTTTGACCTTGACCTCACTTTTCTTAAATTAGTGTTTAGCTCAGTTTTAATGAAAGCATTCAAGATATTTTTAACAAACTTCATATGCTGATACATAATGATGAGAGCTATTTAACTGCATCAATATTTTTTACCTTGACCTTTCCTTTGACCTTGACCTCACTTTTCTGAAATAAGTTTTAGCTCAGTTTTAAAGATACCATTCAAGATAGTGTTATCAAACTTCATATGCTGATACATACTGATGAGAGCTATTCAACTGCATCAACATTTTTTGACCTTGACCTTTCCTTTGACCTTGACCTCACTTTTCTTAAATCAGTGTCAAACTTCATATGCTGATACATACTGATGAGAACTATTCAACTGCATCAATATTTTTTGACCTTGACCTTTCTTTTGACCTTGACCTCACTTTTCTTAAATTAGTGTTTAGCTCAGTTTTAAAGAAACCATTCACAATATTTTTATCAAACTTCATATGCTAATACATACTGATGTAACCTTTTCAACTGCATCAACATTTTTTGACCTTGACCTTTCCTTTGACCTTGACCTCACTTTTCTTAAATTAGTGTCAAACTTCATATGCTGATACATACTGATGTAAGCTATTCAACTGCATCAATATTTTTTCACCTAGACCTTTCCTTTGACCTTGACCTCACTTTTCTCAATTTGTGTTAAAATGTTGCATTACTAATATACCCTCGGCGGGGCATTCATGTCCTATGGACATATTTCTAGTTTTATGTTAAATTCATGAAATTAAGGTTTAAAATAGAGGTAAATAACCGAACTGAAAAATCCGAAACCGAACCGAAAATTTACAGAACTGACCCGACCCAAAAAATTTTGGAACCGTGACAGCCCTAGTTTGGGTGTACACAGGTCAAACAGGGAAATGTCATTAGATTCATATCTACATCTCAAACATATAAAACCCAGGATTAGAGCAAGGCAACTGTATACCTTTCAATAATTTCCTTGTCACTGCATCGATAGAAATCATAAAGACTTGCATGTTCTTAGATGTTTAGTTTTCACTTATTGAGCTAATTGTTTATCTATGCTGCTGTTCTTTCTGTATTGCAGGTATATATTCAGTGTTAGCTAATAAAGCTATTGTTTATATGATACTGAAATAAGACCTGAGTTGTTTTGGGAAAGCTGATAAAGTTATTTTTTTAATGTTATGTTGACTTATTGTGTAGGTTATAGATTTTCTGTGTTAGCTGATTAAACTGTTATATTTGTCTTGTATTGTAGGTGGTTGTCAGAGACAGATAGTGGGCCTGTGTTGTACATGTTCAGTGTTAACTTATTTAACTGTTATATTTGTAGGTGGTTGTCAGAGACAGAGGGAGATGGTAAATGTGAAGTTGAATTGACTCCAGGTTGGTTCACAGAGAAAGCCACCAAATCCAGTAAGTTTGTCTCAATAAATGTCTATCACAGGTCCTCAATAAATGTCTGTCTCAGGTCCTCAATAAATATCTCTCTCAGGTCCTCAATAAATATCTCTCTCATGTCTTCAATAAATGTCTTTACAGGTCCTCAATAAATGTCTATCTCAGGTCCTCAATAGATGTCTTTCTCAGGTCCTCAATAGATGTTTATCTCAGGTCCTCAATAGATGCCTATCTCAGGTCCTCAATAGATGTTTATCTCAGGTCCTCAATAGATGTCTATCTCAGGTCCTCAATAAATGTCTATCTCAGGTCCTCAATAAATGTCTACCTTAGGTTGTCAAAAAATGTTTGACTTCTTAGGTATTCAATAGATGTCTATCTCAATTCCTTGATAAAGTCTTGATAAGATCCTCAGTAAATGTCTGTCTTCATAGATTCTTTATAGTTGTCTGTCTTCTTAGGTCTTCAATGACTATCTGAAGTCTGCAGTACATGTCTGTCCTCTTAGGGTCACAAAACATCCATCTCAACTCTGCAATAAATATCTATCATCAACATGTCTAACAAAAAAGCCTGTCTTCTTGGTCTGTCTCAAATCTGCAATAAATGCCTGTCTTCTTGGTCTGTCTCAAATCTGCAATAAATGTCTGTCTCCTTAGGTCCGCAATAATGTCTGTCTCAAATCTGCAATAAATGTTTGTCTTCTTAGGTTCTCAATAAAAGTCTACGACAATTTTTTAACTTTGACCTTGACCTTACTTTTCTTAAATTTACAATTAGCTAAGTTTCAAAGATACAAATTAAGATATTTTTATCAAACTTCATATGCTGATACATTTTGGCAAATGCTATTGAACTGCATCAAAATTATTTTACCTTGACCTCGCTTTCCATTAATTTGTATTTAGCTCCACATAGTACAGTTTCAAAGAAACTATTCAAAATATTTTTATCTAAACACATATACTGATACATATTGGTGAGAACTATTTAACTGTATCCAAAATGTATGACCTTGACCTTACTTTTCTTTATTTTGCCATGAGGTCAGCTAGTTTCAAATAAACTATTCAAAATATTTTTATGTTAGCTTATGTACTGCTAAATAATTTGGTGAGAATTCATCTACTGTGTCCATTTTTTAGCTCACCTGAGCCGAAGGCTCAAGTGAGCTTTTCTGATCACATTTTATCTGTAGTCCGTCTAGCTGTCTGTCCGTCCGTCTGTAAACTTTTCACATTTTCGACTTCTTCTCAAGAACCATTGGGCCAATTTCAACCAGACTTTCCACAAAGTATCCTTGGGTGAAGGGGATTCAAGTTTGTTCTAATAAAGGGCCACACCCTCTTTCAAGGGGAGATACTAAAGAATTAGTGAAAAATTAAGAGCCATTCTCTGTAACGACTTGAACATTTATATAGGAGCTGTGGCACGCATAGTCTCTGAATTTCTCCAAACTCTCTATGATAAAAGTCTTTGACACCGTTAACTCAAATCAGACAGAAATTGGTTGCTATGTGTCATGGTTACCATGACAACATGTCCTAAAGTTTGAAAAATGGCATTTTTCAACATGTTCAGAGTCCCACAGTTAACGTTTGCGGCAAAGCAAATAAGTGGCAATGATTGTTTCTGAAAGTTGAAGGCCTGATGTCTTAAATGCATGATAAACATGTTTGGTATTTCAACTATTACATACGTTTCTATGGAAACAAAGTATTCAAAAGTAATAATTTTGCCCATTTAATTTTATGAAATTATACACTTAAGAATAAAAAAAAATTATAGGTTGAAATGTAAGCAAATTATAGACAAAAGATCCTTGTAACATTTACCAAGGAAGAAATATGATATTTCTTATAGGTTGGCAATGGTTGCCATGGTTTTAATACCACAAAGGGATTTTGAATTCACTCTCTTAGTGTTTAAATCTATTCCTATCTTTTTAAAAAGCATATTTCTATATAACTAATGATCAATTTTTAAAGACGTTCATGTGACCCAAATTTTCAAATTTCAAAAAATTCAAATTCAATTCTTTAAATAGAGCGTTGCTATGGAAATAAGCCGAAAAAAATATGCATAAAAATCTGAAAAATATTCTGTTTCCTTGGATACGTACCCTTGTATGTAGATTCCCAAAACTTTTATGATTGATAATTATGAACAACTAACCTGACTTTCAATTTTGACTGCCACCCAATCTCTAACTGGATGCAAAAAGCTGGCACATAGGGTTTAATATTGATATGAAATTAACAAAATTGAACATTTTCCCTTCTTGGTTACCATAGCAACAGTGTTGTATTTTTAAACAAATGTTATCAATATATGATATTCAACTTAAGTTCTACCAAATAAGTACTATTCAAGGTGAGTCAAATAATATGTTTCTTGAATAAAAGGTAAGTAAATTCCTAAGGCAGCAAAAAAAAATCACTTTAAACAACTGGTACATTGTTTCCATGGTTACACTGCAACCTAACAATTAATCCCAATTTTTCTTATGTTGTCGGTATTCCAAGGTCCTAAGGATGTATATGTGCCAGTCATGAAATTTATTGTTTTTCCTGAAGATAGTAGCATTAACCCAATCTTAGCAACACATTTTGCATGGTAACACTGTGTTACCATGGCAACCATGAAAGTTATTTTTAGAATAATATTGCCAATACCTAATTACTTAAGGTCAAATATTTTTATTGTTTTTTCTTAGGTTGTTGATCGAGTTTGATCATTTAAAAGCTGTCATTGGTGAATATTGAGCATTTTTCTGCATTTTTCAGCATCTAAAATGTATTCCAAATGTACCCATGGTTACCACTTACTTAGAGATAAATTCTAAATAGTTTCTTTATAGCATAAGTGGCAACAAGGTGTCAGGTTTTTGTGAGAATGGTTTGTTTGTTATTCTTAGTCTTTATTAAGGCTTAATAAAGATTCAAAGTAGCTGAAAATCTCAATTTTCCCAACTTTTCTGGCTGTTACCATGGCAACCAAGACACATAGCAACGAAATTTTATTTGATATATGTTTCTGGTGTCAAGTTGTAATAATGGGCAAAGTTTCATCAAAATCGGTGACCATGCGTGGCAAAGAAGTTTAAGTGGTTACAGAGAATCGCTATTAATAGCATCTTTTAAAAATCTTCTTCTCAAGAACCACAAAGCCAGGGAAGACGAAACTCATGTGGAAGCATCCTCAGGTAGTGTAGATTCAAGTTTGTTCAAATCATGACCCCCAGGGGTAGGGTGGGGCCACAGTGGAGGATCAAAGTTTTACATAGAAATATATAGGAAAAATCTTTAAATTTCTTCTCAAGAACAGCAAAGCCCTATTTGGTCATTTTAATATGGAAGCATCCTCAGGTAGTGTAGATTCAAGTTTGTTCAAATGATGGCCGCGGAGGGTAGGGTGGGGCGACAATGGGAGATCGAAAATTTTACATAAGAACATATAGAAAAAATATTTCTTCTCAAGAACAGAAAAGCTATGTTAAGTCATATTGATATGGAAGCATCCTCAGGTAGTGTAGATTCAAGTTTGTTCAAATGATGACCCCTGGAATAGGGAGGAGCCACAATGGGGATCAAATTTTTACAAAGGAATATATGGGAAATTTTTTTTAAAATCTTCTCAAGTACAACAAAGCCATTTGTTATATTGACATGGAAGCATCATCAGGTACCCCCCCCCCCCCCCCCCCCCCCCCCCCCGTTTATCTTTTCAATACTGAACTGATTTGTGCTTCTGCCTAGCCAATGTGCTCAGGTGAGCGATGTGGCCCATGGGCCTCTTGTTTTAGTTTGACTCTCCAAATGACCATTTTTTGCGTATAAAACTCAGTTTTAAAGAAATCATTCAAGATATTTTCATCAAACTTCTTACACTAATACATGTACAAATTTTCATGTTGCATTACTAAAGAACCGTGGACAAGGCATTCATGTTCTATCACTCCTATGGACATATTTCTAGTTTCCTTAAACATTAAATTAACAGAAAAGCAGTGTGTGTATTTTGCTGTGTTCTATTTGCAGGAGGAGAGTTCAGTTTGTCGGTGAAGACAAGTGAGGATTCATCCCCTGCTGGTGGGGGTAAGGTGGACCTAGCAGTGTACGGAGAGAATGGGAAAAGTGAGGATATCACCCTAACTGCCCCCAGCCCAGGAGACAAACTGTTTGAGCCAGGAAACATCGACAGCTTTACAGTTAGGCACCTCATTTACATGCATTTAGTCTAAAAACAAACTGTGTCATAGAGATAATTAGTGGTATTTGTAGGCTTTTGAATGTTTATTTAAGAGAATTTCTAAAAAGAATTTATAACTTTTGTTTTATTGCAGATCAATGTGGGTGACATTGGTAACTTGTACAAAATTCGAGTGAGTCGAGAGGATCTCCACACCTGGAAGGCATGGCACCTCGAGGAACTCAAACTCCAGGACCTCGATACCAGTGAGGTGTTTCTTGTCAGGTGTGATCGCTGGCTTTCAAGAGAAAAAGATGACTTTGACCTCACAAGAGAGTTTCCAATCATCCACAAAAACAAACCTCCACCACAAGGTAGGCTACACATTCACTGAAACAAAAACAAACCTCCACCATAATGTAGGCTACACACTCACTGAGACAAAAACAAACCTCCACCACAAGGTAGGCTACACATTCACTGAGACAAAAACAAACCTCCACCACAAGGTAGGCTACACACTCACTGAGACAAAAACAAACCTCCACCACAAGGTAGGCTACACATTCACTGAAACAAAAACAAACCTCCACCATAATGTAGGCTACACATTCACTGAGACAAAAACAAACCTCCACCACAAGGTAGGCTACACATTCACTGAGACAAAAACAAACCTCCACCACAAGGTAGGCTACACACTCACTAAGACAAAAACAAACCTCCACCACAATGTAGGCTACACACTCACTGAGACAAAAACAAACCTCCACCACAAGGTAGGCTACACTTTCCCTGAGACAAAAAACAAACCTCCACCACAAGGTAGGCTACACAATCACTGAGACAAAAACAAACCTCCACCACAAGGTAGGGTACACACTGAGACAAAAACAAACCTCCACCACAAGGTAGGCTACACAATCACTGAGACAAAAACAAACCTCCACCACAAGGTAGGCTACACATTCACTGAGACAAAAACAAACCTCCACCACAAGGTAGGCTACACACTCACTAAGACAAAAACAAACCTCCACCTCAATGTAGGCTACACATTCACTGAGATGAAAACAAACCTCCACCTCAAGGTAGGCTACACTTTCCCTGAGACAAAAAACAAACCTCCACCACAAGGTAGGCTACACAATCACTGAGACAAAAACAAACCTCCACCACAAGGTAGGGTACACACTGAGACAAAAACAAACCTCCACCACAAGGTAGGCTACACAATCACTGAGACAAAAACAAACCTCCACCATAATGTAGGCTACATTATGAGACAAAAACAAACCTCCACCACAAGGTAGGGTACACACTGAGACAAAAACAAATCACCACCACAAGGTAGGCTACACATTCACCGAGACAAAAATAAACCTCCATTTCAAGGCAGGCTATACATTCACTGAGACAAAAAGAAATCTCCACCACAAGGTGGGCTACGCGTGCACTGAGATTATATAATATGCAACCGGTGTCTAATTGTTTAGGATTGTATGATACACATCAACTGTGGGGCTATTAATGCTATTACATTTTCAGTACTGTAGTCAAATACTCTTATTTACTTATTGAATAAAGTGATATTTTTTCATAGTGTGAAAGAATATCAAAGTGATATTTTGTCACAGTATGAAAGAATATCAGAACTACCACAAAACTCTATTTTTGATTTCTTCACAAAGAGAATTGTTGAAAAAAAAAGTACACCCTAACCTGTTATAAGACAGAGAGAGTAAATAAACTATTTTCACTGAAAGTGTCTAAAACTGCCAATGTTGTTGAAATCCGTGTTTACAATGTTTTCAATCTCACAATTGCTAAGCTATATGATATTACAACACTCAACTATGATGTCATATCCTATGACACTGTGTTACTAAAGCAGAGGCAAAGGGAAAATCAAAGAAAATGGAATAAAAAGACATTCAATATTTTCTAGTTGAATGTAGAATTTATTCACTTGTGAAACAGTTCTTTTCTTCATATTTTCACTCATACTTCACCCCCCTGAAAATATCAAAAATCCTGACCCACTTGTGAAATAAATTCCATATCCAGCTATAAAGCATTGAATATCCTCTATATTATACATTCAGTACAATGAGATTATGTGGTATGCAAAGAGTGTAGAATTGTATTACACATCAAATAGTTTTTGCACAATGGATTTGTGTTTAGACTTTGACTGTCCTCACTTCTTATTTTTGATAAGTTTCCAGTTTTCTTGTTGTCTATTTTTAGTTCATCAGTTTGAAGTGGAGGTTATGATCTAATGTCTATTTTTAGTTCAGCAGTTTGAAGTGGAGATTATGACCGGGAATCACTGGGCAGCAGAGACAGATGCTGACATCTTTGTTACTATATTTGGAGATAAAGGGGACACGGGGCGACGGAAATTGTATCACTCCCTCCAGGAGGGTGACAAATTTCAGCGGGGAAAGGTAAGGTCTTGTGCTGTCAAGTACAAATTACTCACCACGTTCATAGCTTAATGTACACTCTCATAAGTAATGTGATTAGATTCCATCCAGCGGGGAAAGGTAGGGTCTGGTGTGAGCAGGTACAAAGTTACCTACCAGCTTCATTGTTTAATGAACATGTACATTCTCCTGTAACTAATATAAATAGATTTTGATTACAAAAACATACTTGCATTAAAGACATGTCTGTCAATTATAAAATTATTGATTTTTTAAATTTTTAAAAAAACTCTCTTTCACCAGGTTGACAAATTCCTGTTTGAGGCAGTTTCTCTGGGTAAACTCAATCAAGTACAGATAGGTCACGACAATAAAGGTCACGGTGCTGGGGTGTACATAGAGGATGTCAAGGTCACTGAGAAGTCCAGTCCTGATGTCCAGTACGTGTTTCCGTGTCGTTCCTGGCTGGACGAGAGAGAGGGGGACAAAAGAACATGGAGAGTTTTACCAATGTTAGGTTAGTTCAACAGAAACCAGCGTGGATCACTTACAAAGACTGAAAGTTACTGTAAATGTGAATTATATCGTTATTTGAACAAGAAACTTTTTATCATTTTAGAAAAGAGAGATCCATCCAAGAGACCTCCACAGAAAGATTTAAAGAAGAAATCAAGTAAGTTACATGGTACATGTTTTAATGGTACACCTTTTAAAGATTACACTTAATTGAAGCAAGTTAATTATGTTGTAATATTAAAGATTTCAACTACAGATAAATCAATTGTAGCTACATTCTGCTATACCATTTAGTGATAACAGTTAAATAAAGATAGTTATATAATGGTATACCATGGCCATTTAAATGTACCATCTAAATAAAAAAAAAAAGATAAAGGTATACCATTTCAAGAAAATTCAAATTGTTTATTAAAAAATAGCATATTTGATCAATTAAGAATAAAAATTTGATTTGTCCATAGTTTTCTGTAGCATAGACTTTTTGAATTTGTAGAAGGTAAATGGTCGGTGACTGTGAAGACCAGTGAAGAGAAGGATTCTGGGACAAGTGCCCAGGTGTATCTCACTGCATTTGGTACAAAGGGACAGTCTCAAAAGCAGCCATTAGGATCAGGTCAACAGGGTCAGAGTGAATTCACTCCAGGGGCTGTCTCAGAATTTAATGTGAGTACTCATTGTGATAAAAAATATCTTGCCACCCTGTACATGAAATGACTGATAAGAACCTGATTTTTGACTGTGTTCAAGCTACTTTATTTAATCATCTGTGTTGCTTGAGCAGGTAGATTTTGGAGACATTGGGGAACTTCTAAAGATCCGACTGGAACACAACAACAAGAATGACTCTGCCTCCTGGCATGTTGACTGGGTCAGTAAATTCTCCTTGATAAGAAAGTACATCTTAGACATTTATCTCAATAGCAAAAATGTTTTGAGTTCAACTCTGGATCAAGCATAGGCTTTCTTTACAAAGATGAAATATTCCAGTGGTCAAAAGCACATCCCATGTAATACATTATCTTTTAGATGATAACTCTAATTACAAGGTAATGTTTTTGTCAGGTGGAGATGACTGATGTGGATACAAATGAGCACCATAAGATATTTATAAACCGGTGGTTCTCTGTTGACGAGGAGGATGGTCAGGTTGTCAGGGAGTTCTCTGTGGATCACCCCGGGGACATGCCCCTCCCAGGTCACTGTCACATCACATAACAATGAAATCAAATGTTAATGCAATCCATTTAATTAAAATATCATTCCCATGATAAAGAGCTAGGTTCACTAACTCTATAAAATGGCCCTGTCGATAGACGAATTAACTGACCAAGTCCCAATGTCTCATTTCAAGCATCAATATAAAGTAGAGACTTAGTACTTTCATTTCCTATAAAAAAGTTTTCTCTCTGAGTCCAGGTATTGAAAAAGTGGCTTTGTGAAATTGTAATGTTCTTGAATTTTGACGAAAATGTGTGTATTTGAGCACCTTCAGTAAAGGATTAAAATATGCACCCACCCTGTGATCTAAAAAATAAAACATGGATTATAATCTTCTGAAACAGAACTTTCATTATATAATTCAACATTTTAGATCAGAGGTTGGGGTCTATGCAAAATATTGAAGAACAGCTTAAATTTTTGGCCATTTTTGAAGAATTTGTCAGGATTTGGGGATAATGACGCAATTCATGATGTCATAATTGCATGAACTAGCGAAAAATTACGTTAATTTTAATAGATATGCAGTCAGCAAGGGTCCAAGTAAAATTTAATATATTTTCATCTAAAACTGAGCATTTTTTATTTTTCAGAAATTCACAGGGCCAAAAAAGGCCTTAAGTGAACCTCGTTCTTTGTTCAAGTTTTGACTTTCTATTAGTAAATACTTAAGAATCTGTTTTGGATTTGCAGTTTGTCAGTACGTGATTTTGGTGCAGACCTCTATGACCTCTGACCCTGGATCCAGTGAAGGTCAGGTCAGCATTAATATCCAGGGAGAGTATGGTGACACTGGGGAGAGGAAATTGAGTGGGAAATCCCCATGGAAACCTGGAGAGGAGGCGTCCTTTATCATAGAGTCTATTAGTCTTGGTGCACTCAAAAAAATCCAGCTCCAGTTTGAAGGTCAAGGTAAACAACCTGATCCTAATTGTGTCTCTGTCCTTAAATTTACAAACCTGAATTAAATTGAATTTTTAATGTAATTTTAATTTTGTCCAGGAATGAGTTGGTTGGTGGATAGAGTGAGAATATTTGAGAAGCCCACAGCAATTTCTCAGACTGTGTTCAACTGCCATTCTCTGTTTGATATGAGGAGTGGGGACAAGAGAGTATCCAAGGAATTCCCAGCTGCAGGTAAGATCAAATAATCACTTCCAAACTTAGCCAGAAGTCACCAAATAACTCCCAGATTTAGCCAGAAGTCAACAAGTTACTGTCAGAATTAGTCAGTAGTGAAAAAATTATCCCCAGAATCTGTCAATAGACAAGAAAGTACATGCTTCCAAAGTCTCTCAGTAGTTGAAATATTATTCTTAGAATCTACTTGTAGTCAATTGCAACAAACTACTGTAACAGTTGGAATCCGTCTGTAGTCAAGATATTACTCTCAGAATGTGTCAGTAGTCAACAGATTACTGTCAGAATCTGTCTGTACTAAGAGTCAACAAATTACTCCCAGAATTAGCCAGTAGTCAACAAATTACTCCCAGAAATAGCCAGTAGTCAACAAATTACTCCCAGAAATAGCCAGTAGTCAAAAAATTACTCCCAGAATTAGCCAGTTGTCAACAAATTACTTTCAGAATCTATCAGTAGTAAATAAATTACTTTCAGCCAGTAATTAACAAATTAATTGTTGAGTGTCACTAGTAAAAAAAAAAAAGCTCTGTTTGTAGTCAAAATATTCTCAGCATCAAGAGTCAAAAAATTACTCTCAAACTGAAAATAACTGGGAATTGTGCTTAAAGAGACATGAATGCTTTAATATCATGTTTATATAAGGCAGAGAGGGGTGTACTATCTGTTATCAGATACTTTTATTTCTTTACAGCTGTACAGCCGTGTGAAGTCCCCACTAAGGTAGTGGAGCGATTCTATGGTGATATCTCTCCACTTGTCTCCAAAGGTCACTGGCGAATCCTTGTGGAGTGTGGTAAAAACGGAACAGAGGATGACATCTTCCTGGTGGTGTATGGGGTCAAAGGTCACTCCACTCCCTATCACATCAACAGCAAGGAAAATCTTTCACCTGGTGCTCTTATTATCTCTGATGTAAGCTTCCCAGAGGCAGCCATTGTCTCCTGTCACCAGTTTTATACAGTTCTGTATGATTTATCATAAGACTTCTAATATTACCCCATTTTATTTGCAGTTAAATGTTGGGGACATTGGTGCAATATTCAAGATTCATTTATACTTTGGAGGAGATTTTACCGGTACTCCCTGGTTCCTCAATAAAGTAAGTATTTTCTTCACTGGCGTAGAGATATGCAGTACCAGAAATTTAAAAAAAGGACAGTTTGATTTTCATGCTTGTTATTATTGTAGTTAAAGTTGAAAGATGCTGACACAAAGCAGCAATTTATGTTCACTCACAACAAACTGATAGAACCCACGACGGACAATCCTACAGGACTGGTGGAACTTCCTGCTATTCGACCCGATCTGGCCCCTCTACAAGGTAATCATTGAAATTATCAACTCTAAAGCCTTTATTAAAATCTTTAAAATCTATTTTCACTTTTCTGTGATTTTATGTCAATATTCTGAAATGCCCACTCTGTTACAGAGGATGAGTTTACTTTGTATGTATCCACGGGTAACCTACACTTGGCAGACACATCAGCTGATGTGTCCTGTAATCTGATTGGTGAATGGGGAAATACGGGGTCAAGGTTACTGGCAAAATCCACCAATCAGGTGCCATTCAGGCAGGGACAGGTGAGTAACAACTAATGTTTACATCGAATTGTTTTGTTTGATCATTTTACAATGTATTTAATGAAGGAAGAAAGAAAACTTCTATGAGAGACAAAAAATATCAGTCATTAAATGTTATTCATAATACTGAATTTTAATCACTTTTTCTTATAGGTTGATGAGTTTAAGGTTCGGGGTCTAGAGCTTGGAAAGCTAAGGGAGGTTGTGGTCAGTCACACAGAACGGGGTCGGGGAAGAGGTTGGTTCTGTGACCGGGTCGTGGTGAAGTCCACTCTGTCCAATGTTCTGAAGGTCTTCCCCTGTAACCAATGGCTGGACACGGGCTGTGAGGACAGACAACTGGTCAGACGTCTCCGTCCTCTTGGTCAGATGCCGGTCAGCAATCCACCCGTCACAGGCAAATCAAGTCAGTGGTCAACACAGAGATGTATAAAGATACAGATCAAGACATTAAAAATTTATGACTGCTTAAAAAAATCATTTTGTTTTCAATGAAAATTATATTGAATACTCACAATTATGAAAATTGAGGAGAATTCGGGAGATGATTAAAATCAATGTAGCAGGTTTTGTTTGACTGATGATTAGAAATACACTTTGATGGTCAGGACATTGTTGAATTGATTTCAGAGGGAGTTTGGGTTTGCTCCGTGAAGACAGCAGATATTGATCAACTTCCTGATGTGGCCAGAAATCGCAGCAGTAAATCACGAGAAGTTTCCCTGACAGTTTACGGCAGTGACTCTGTACATGGTCCAGTAGAACTGATCAGCTTACAGGGGGAGCCTTTCTTACCAGGACAGACTGATACATTCTCTGTTAGTATTTATTGTCTGATTTAATGTATCTACAATTATGTGGTATACGTTTTATAGTGATTTGATAGCATTAATGTGTAAAATACTAGGTATGATTTATAAGAACAAAAAGGGTGACGATAACAAACAGTGAACGATCTAAAAATGAACTACAAAAAGGAGTAAAGTTTATTCTAATATAATGATAAAAGTAAAGAGATTAGTGTACCGTATTTGGCCGAATATAATACGCATTGGTGTAAAATACGCACCCCCCTTTTTGAGCCTGAAACTGGGGGAAAAACGCAGTTCAGTTGTATTATATGCAGCAGAAAATTTTACCAAGCGGTGTTCTGAACTTCTGAAAATCGCGGTAATTTGCTATGAAAATCGGCGCGGAGATAAAGTGCCGAAAATTTACAGAACACGATATTTTATTCAGATGCGTTTTTATTTCTTAACCTTGACTTTCCATATCGCGGCAATCTGGAGGAAATTATTTATTTTAACAAAGCACGAGGTAATGTTGCATTAAAGTTTAACAGAGTTTATTATTATTTTTTTTTTTTTTTTGCATACGGTGATATTGAAATTATACGTCGCCGTATTCTAACTATTCTTTGTGGAAATAATTTTATTTCAACAAAGCACGAGGTATTGCAACATCAAAGTATTCATGGACTACGATTTTCCTCTTTTGAACTTGAAATTAATTAAATAAATAGCTGATGTTATAAAAATAAAATCAAAATTTAACAAGCGTGTAAAGTGTAGTTATCAACACACCTCCAAAGCTGTGAAAAATGATGTACAAAGATGGGATATGTGTCTTCATACATCGAGGTAATCTTCGTGGATATCTTATTTTCTACAGAGCACGAGTAAATGATAACACTTAAGTTTCAACATACTACATATTCCCTCTTTTAACTCTCAATCATTTTAACACGAGACCGATATAAGATAAAGTAAAATTACATTTAACAAGCGTTTAACTGTTTAATGTGTCGTAATCAACACACGTTTATACATACGAAAGATCATAAACCAACCCCCGATTTTTAACAAAGAAAATAATCAAAGCCATTAATAAGGACAGTAAATGATCAGTGCTCTAACTGTAAAAACAATGCTCTGGAGTCGGTAAACAATTTAATTGCCTGGAGGGGTGTTCAGGTGTTGAGGGGTAATTATCAAGTGACAAGCGCACGTGTTCACAATGTTGGCTTCCACTCATTGGGACGTATAGAGGGATGTTTATGTTGAAATGAATTTTCACTGCGTTATTTAAAACCTAAAATAAATTTTATTTTATTGTATTTCATTAAAAAATGACATTACTTTTTTGACCAAGTGTCCGACTGATTAGGTACATGTGTACTATGATTACGGAAGCAATGTGTCAACATCTATAAATAACATCGTTAATGGCTGCCTACACGGAGACGATGAACATGCACCGATGCAGCTGAAATTAATTTTAACTTGCTTTTAAATTTAATTTAACTATCAAAAGGTTATAATTATAACATCATAAGATTAACAAGCCTACATTCCAACAATAACTTTCCGTAGTTTTAAATACGTCGATAAACGGCAAGAAATTGCAGAAGTCTTTAGCTAATACTACGGTATGTGCGTATGATAGCCGTGTTTCACATGAAAGAAAAACCTATCAAAATCCCATTGTGGTGTAAAATACGCACCCCTTTCTCACAGAAAATTATTTGGGAAAAAAGTGCGTATTATATTCAGCCAAATACGGTATCATAAATTTGGGGATTGTTTTTATTAAGAAGCCATCACTATTTGAATGCTGTGTTTGTCTTTTAGGACCTGACCTTTGGTGACCTTGGGAGGATCCAGAAGGTCAGGGTCAGTGCCGGCTACGAGCAGGACCCGGACACAGTGTGGACCATAGAGAAGGTGAGTGGGTAGGGGCATTATGTCTCATTAAATTTATAATTAAGAAATATAGTCTGTGTTGCCAACCAAGTTTGTAATTTTAAAAACACAAGAAAATCCTCTTTATTAGAGAAATCTTTAAGTCCTTTGGTTCAATTAAGATGTCATCTCGTACAGTTTTGTTTGGACATTAAGGTTTGAGTTACTCCATGATAAAACACATGTGTTTGTAGATGATATGTGACATTTTATGTCCTTGAGTGAATCAGATATTTTTGTCTTTGTGCTTTTAGATTACCTTATAAATAAGTCTGCTTTAGGTGACCTTGTAATCACATATCTATGTCCTGTGTTTTAGGTGACCTTGTAATCATGTATCTATGTCCTATATTTTAGGTGACCTTGTTATCACATATCTATGTCCTGTGTTTTAGGTGACCTTGTAATCACATATTTATGTCTTATGTTTTAGGTAACGTTGAAGGACCAAGATACTGGAGAGATTCTAGAATTTGACTTTTCCCGATGGATTGGAGAGTTGGGAGGGGATATCAGAAAAGAACTCCCCGTCATCAAAATGGGGCAAGGAATCAAGCAAGGTGAACATGTTGTCTGTGTAACTAGGAAGTGAAACCTTCAGTGGGAATAGAAATTTCATGTTACGATTTATGTTAATCCGTATACAGGGAAATTTTTGCCCCCTTTTATTTTTGTCCCTTTTGCCATACTTACAAGTGGATGAATTTAAAATGAGACTAATTCAAAGAACACAGTATAATTTCTTAAACAGACATTTGACTGGGTGAATTTAAAAGGGGGCAAAATTGTTCACAATTCTACAACAGCTATTGCCAAAATCTAAGAAATACTGCGGACATTATTCTCGAATAAATCACGAATATCACCAAAATATTATCCCATCAGAAATGCATATCAAACCTGTACAGTTGACATGAATAATTGACTTTAAAATCTAATACTTATTTAGATTATATTGATGTGTCATCTTCCGCCGTCTAAACAGTGTGTATTGCCTAAAGCAGCTTAAAAATGTCGGTTTTTATAGCTAAGTTGTGCTGTTCCAAGAACCTCCCCACAACATTTACACTCTGTGAATTTACTGATAAAGCAATGAAATAGACAACTGATTTTGTTATTTTACATTCATAAAAACTAAGCAATATACATGTATGTTACAAACAAATTTATAAATAATTAAAGAATATATTTAATCCAACAAAAGCTCAAATCATCTGCATTTCATTGCAATCGATACACAAGTATACAAACAAATTGACCCTCTGGTGTTAAATGGAACAGCCTAACCTGACATGATGACCCAATTCATTTATCTACAGAGGAAATAATTGATCAACATATTTTAGAGCTGTTAGTAGAATAGAAATAAAGTTCTTGTTGTTGTGAATGATGCAGGATAAACTTCTTGGTCTTGAAATATTGTTTGAAATATAAAAGCTGAGGCGTTAACATTTCTCGACCTCAGAGGTTACCCTACAGTGGGTTTCTTTAGCAGGTGTAAAATTTGGTGTTTTGCTTCCTCAAACTTATGCCTTTTACTTCGGCAGAACTTTTTTTGGCAGACACACAGTTCTATGACGTTGTAAAAGAGAGGAAATTCATGTTCTAGATGTGTTTTTGGTACTTTTAATATACATTTGAATATCAATTTAGGCAAGAGTTTGAGTAAAAACCAACACCAGATGGAAGATGTACTGTATTGTTTAACAACAGAATGATCAAAGTTATTTTTCTTGTATTCAGTACCAATTTGCAAGGGTGTAAATTTAGCAATTATGATTTTAGTAGGCTACTTCAAAACTGCTAATAAAAATAAGCCAAACTTAGCACCCGGCTAAAAATACGGTATTCAGCAACATTCACGAAAGCATGAAATTTATTTTTTAAGTGTAAAAGGACAAAAATAACCCTGTATACAGTAATGGAAAATTGTACAAGTTTAAAGTAAATTAAATCACCTTTTAGTGTTTTTCATTTGTATTTAGAAAATATGCCATAATTGTGGTCAGAGTGAGTTAAGGTCGTGTTGACCTATATTTTCAGTTCTGCCATACTACATACAGCTGTTTACGAGTGATGAGGAAATGGACGCTGGGACAGAATCTCATATGTTTATTACACTTTACGGACAGGAAGCAGACACCGGCAGACGACATCTCCACAACAATGGCCGAAAAAACTTTCAGACTGGTCAGGTAATGAAAATGAATAAGATTATTACTAGGGGTTGTAGATAAATCAGAAAGAATCAGATATACTGTATGAAAATTTGATTCCAATTGATTTCAATAAATTACATTGTTTGCTCTTTAGTTTAAATTATTGTAAAATCACAGTTCTGTAATATCATATATAAAGTATAGAGTACATCTGTGTGCAACTAGATATATGTGTAACAGGCGGGGAAAAATGTCGGCCAGGCTGGGACTCGAACCCGGGACCTCCCGCTAACCGTGGGGGTGCTCTAACCACTGAGCTACCGGGCCGACGTACCCAGTCCCCTTTACACTCTTCCCCCTTTTTCTTGAGGTTTTCCATCCTGAAAACCTCACCGAGACTCTTTTAAACCACCCATGGGTTTTATTGTTGGGCGCCAAATGTAACAGGCGGGGAAAAATGTCAGTCAGACTGGGACTCGAACCCGGGACCTCCCGCTAACCGTGCGGGTGCTCTAACCACTGAGCTACCGGTGTAACCGTGATTTCTGTCACTAGTGCTCAGGGTCGCTCTTAATAGAATATATAGGGAAAAGAGCGACTCAAATCACTGGCCTCTGCGCATGCCTGGGGATTTTAGTCGCTTCAAATCAAAGCGGTGCTCTACTGGTTTTAAATCCACGGTAATAGTATCCGCAGTCTTAGCTTTTAGTGTTTTATTTATTTATTTTAATCCTAAAAGTATGCAAAACAATTATATATGTTATATAAAACTTAATATTGAATTTTCTTCGTATAGGATTATTAAATGATGTTTTATATTTCTAAAATCTATTTATTTTCTAAAAGAAAATAAACGACTTCAAATTTAATTAAAAATTTTGTAAATTGAATATATATTTAAAAGGAAAAGAAGGGGGGAAAACATGCTACGGTTAACAATCTCTCAGTCATTTGTTTCAACAGGTGTGAACCATGCCCAGGGCGTTATCTTAGACAGGTGTCAACAATTACCTGTATGATAATAACTCACAAACACAGCTCCCCGTGGTCAATTTTTACCAAAGGTGTGAAGTGTGTTTTTATAACCACTTCATTATATACACTTGTATTTTGTCTTCAATGAACCATAAATACCTGTATTTCACCAGAATATAAAGTGATAATTCTTATCTCATTTCGACCTATTTTTTATTTAACAGATAAATTAAATGACGGGAAAATAATTCTGAACAAATAAATAATGACGACATAATAATTTTAAATACGTTTAGGGTGGTTGGCCACTTGTCCGGCGAAATGATAAGAAAAAGTGAAAAAAATGGATGTGGTTTTAATTTTATGTAGCTGATATAAATTTTGAGTTTAATAAATCTGAATATGAAGAATTGAAGAAACATTATCTTAAACAAATCAAGAGCGTCGGTGATTCCAGTCGCTCTTCAAAATTACGGTTTCATGTTCAATTGTTTTAAACGAACCGACTAGTATGCCTTCTGTTACAACATTAAATAGTAAAACGGGATGCAGTTTTGATTTAAAGTAGATTATCTGAGTGTAGTTTAATATTTCTAGGGAAAAAATCGGAAAACGTTATTTTAAATTTATTTAGTTATTCGGTCGCTCTTCAAAAGGGGGTTTCATAACCTACCAGAATTATATTTCCATCTCTAATAACTTAAAAAATTGGATGCAGTTATGACAAAGAGTAGATGATAAAAGGTTAGTTTAATAATTCTAGAGAAAAAAATTCGAATAATAATTATTATGAATAAATTATGAGCATCGGTGATTTCTGTTGCTCGTCAGAAATCCATCAGAAGCTACTAGTTCACGGTCTGTACCAACTTAAGGAAATTAAAATGGATGCAGGTTTAGCTTCAAAAAGAAAATCAAAGCGTATATAGTTTAATAATTCTAGATAGAAATATTTGGGGAAAATAATTATTTTGAATTAGTCATGAACATCATCAATGGTGATTTGAGTCGCTCTTCAAAATGGCGATTTCAGAATTTATCAGAACTAACATATTTATCGCCTGTAAAACCAGTAAAAAGTGGAATTTGATGCCGGTTTCACTTGAAATAGATAATCTAAGTGTAGTTTAATAATTCTACATGAAAATATTCGGGAAAATAATTATTTTGAATTAGTTATGAGCATCAGTGATTTGAGTCGCTCTTCAAAATGGCGATTTCAGAATTTATCAGAACTAACATATTTATCGCCTGTAAAACCAGTAAAAAGTGGAATTTGATGCCGGTTTCATTTGAAATAGATAATCTAAGTGTAGTTTAACTATTCTACATGAAAATATTCGGGAAAATAATTATTTTGAATTAGTTATGAGCATCAGTGATTTGAGTCGCTCTTCAAAATGGCGATTTCAGAATTTATCAGAACTAACATATTTATCGTCTGTAAAACCAGTAAAAAGTGGAATTTGATGCCAGTTTCACTTGAAATAGATAATCTAAGTGTAGTTTAATAATTCTACATGAAAATATTCGGGAAAATAATTATTTTGAATTAGTTATGAGCATCAGTGATTTGAGTCGCTCTTCAAAATGGCGATTTCAGAATTTATCAGAACTAACATATTTATCGCCTGTAAAACCAGTAAAAAGTGGAATTTGATTCCGGTTTCATTTGAAATAGATAATCTAAGTGTAGTTTAACTATTCTACATGAAAATATTCGGGAAAATAATTATTTTGAATTAGTTATGAGCATCAGTGATTTGAGTCGCTCTTCAAAATGGCGATTTCAGAATTTATCAGAACTAACATATTTATCGTCTGTAAAACCAGTAAAAAGTGGAATTTGATGCCGGTTTCACTTGAAATAGATAATCTAAGTGTAGTTTAATAATTCTACATGAAAATATTCGGGAAAATAATTATTTTGAATTAGTTATGAGCATCAGTGATTTGAGTCGCTCTTCAAAATGGCGATTTCAGAATTTATCAGAACTAACATATTTATCGTCTGTAAAACCAGTAAAAAGTGGAATTTGATGCCGGTTTCATTTGAAATAGATAATCTAAGTGTAGTTTAATAATTCTACATGAAAATATTCGGGAAAATAATTATTTTGAATTAGTTATGAGCATCAGTGATTTGAGTCGCTCTTCAAAATGGCGATTTCAGAATTTATCAGAACTAACATATTTATCGCCTGTAAAACCAGTAAAAGTGGAATTTGATGCCGCATTGATTTGAAATAGATTATCTAAGTGTAGTTTAAATTCTAAATGAAAATATTCGGGAAAATAATTATTTTGAATTAGTTATGAGCATCGGTGATTTGAGTCGCTAGTGCTCTTCAAAATGGCTCTTTCCATATTGTATCAGAAACTATTATTTTACGGTCTGTAAAAACTTTATAAAAAATTCAAATGGATTCAAGTTTGATTTCAGATAGATAATGCAAGTGTAGTTTAATTATTATAGATAAAAAAATAATCCGAAAAATAATTAATTTAAATAAGTTATCGGCGATTTCGGTCGCTCTTCAAAAATTATCAGAACGGTTTAGTTTCACGTTAGCAGGTTGGTAACAATTTAAATAATTGGAAATCAATGCAGTTTACTTTGAAGTGAAAGAATATAATAAAACCACACCTAGTGTAAATTAGAAAATATTATGCCATTGTTATATTCATTTTTTAAAACGCTACTCAATAACTCTCATAAAGGTATAGGCACTTTAACGGTTTAAAACAAATATAATTTTTTGAACCGATCAATTACCGATTAACTGAATTTTTGAGGATACGACTTTTCACCCATTTTCCCTCATAACCAGATATATGCATGCCAGAAAAATCCAATTAATTGCATGAATAATTAATCTACCGGTAAATGAAACGATGAAATATAGTTTTTTTACTTTAATACATGTAGTACATGTATAATTATAACAATCCATATTCATTCGAATTTTTAGCCTACGCTACGGCTGTAACAAAAAGGTGCTTTACAGTAAAGTGCATTTATGATTCTTTGTTTGTTACTTTATTCTCTTGTGCCTTGTATATTTTGATCTAGTCCAGTCAGCCTCAAACTTTACCAATTAACTTAGGGTACGAAACATTTGTGATTTTCCTTCCATATTTTGATAGAGGATATGCAACATTCGTAATTTTTGTGCCGTTTTTTGATAGAGGGTATGGAGCACTCGTGATTTTCGTGCCATTTTTTATTATAAAAAGGATGACATGGAAGCCCTTTAGACTCAAACAACACATCCCTTAATAGTACACAAATGGTCCTCTTCAAAATAAACCCTTTTCAGCTACCTTACATTTTTATGTTCATTGCTGAAAGCGGGGCCCTTTGAGATGGCCACCATCTCAATGATATCTAGTTCCAACTACCATCGGACTGCAGGTGAAGCCCTAGATGTATATAGCTACTGGATTGTTCAATAATGTCCCCATTTCCTCCAAAATGTCTGGAAAAAGTCGCTGCTTTCTTGTAAAATTAAAATCTTTAAAATCTACAGCCCAAGAGTTGGACCATTTCTTTATTTTTTCAAGATCGGCTGTAAGAGATAATGTAGGAGTAAAAATATCGGCGCCTATTATAGCAAACAATGATGTTTCCGCAAATAAACGAATACCATCACAATTTCCGTGCATTTCTCTCCACTTAATACATCAAAATCAGGCTGTCGTGCATTGTAATTATTACAACAATCTGGCTCGAATCTGGTTCTGAGTAAAATTGCCTCAACTTTCATCTGCAAGCAAAGTCAACCATAAATCAACCTAAGTTCAAGCCATTTTCAACGTCTATTCCACGTTGATATTTGACGTTGAAACAACGGTTGAGGTCTCAACATTGCCTCAACTTTAATATGCAACCAAAATTCAACGTTGAAGAGCAACGTACGTTGGTTCAACGTTGAAATAACTGCTGGGACACCAATTTAATTTTTTTTTTATTAAGACTAACACGTTAACCACCACGCTACAACTTGTGACAAATTGTGGCAATTAATTTAAGGACATAAGCAACGTAGTTCGAACTTCATTGTCTTTTTCCCTGGAGTTGAAGAGTTCCAACACTTGAAGGAACGGTGTGCTACAATTTAATGTCTATATATGCTGTTGTACTTCTTCTAAAACAAGTTTGGATAAACAAAACATATAGAATATATGTTTAGTAATTTTTGTATATTTTTCTTTAAATTATACAAGAATTTTCATCAATTGATATCTTTTCAAGACCCTTGGTAATACATGCTAATTTTTTGTCTACGAACATCTGATGGCACTATAATCTTATATTAAGAACATCTTGAAAAATTATCAGTAGGTAAGGCACGTTGCCTATATCCTTAAATCATGCATGACATTTGACTTAATGGACTCCGAATAATTCTCGGAAATACAGTATAATACAAGTATACAATTATAAGTTTGTAAATGTGACCTTGAACTTGCTAAAAAACTTGATTATAAAAAGAAACACATCTTCTGATCATAAGTAATCTTCTATTGAAATATGGACATTAAATGTTTCTCTGTTAATCATTATAAATTAATCAAATTAATTATAGATCTGTCATGAATTTTATACTTTTTTATACCAGTGACCTAGAATTTGCCACAATGAGCTTGGGTCAAGGTTATGGCACACACTCAGGTCATAACTAATCTGTGTACAATGTATGAGCTTCTAATGATTTGCCAGTCCAAAGTTATAGTCTAAACAAGAATTTTATGCTTTTTCTGCCAGTGACCTTGAACTTGCAGGAATGGCACTTGGTCAGGGTCATGACACACCCTCAGGTCATAAACAATTTTTGTACCAGTTCTGAGCTATAACTATCTTTGGGTATAATTATACGAGTGGCGAATTGCAAGGCTACCGCTTGGGATTTCTATTTTTAGAGAGACTCTGAGCACTAGGGACAGTTTTCACTGGTACACCGGGCTGACGTACCCAGTCCCCGTTACATGTGTATGACTGCACATACAGCTTCTAGAGTCTAATATTTAGTAAATAATGAAAAAGAATAGAAACAGATGTTGATGATGATATCTACTTAATACATGATACACTGGCTTACCTTTAACTTTATAAGATGATAGTTCTTATCGTTAATTACTCCTTCACTGTGGAAGTCATAGCTTTATATCTTTTTAAGTTGGTAGTTTTTATTATTAATACCTGACATATTTGTGTATTTTTTACAGGTTGATTCTTTCATTGTGGAAGCCGTAGCTGTATATCTTTATAAGTTGGTAGTTTTTAGCTCACCTGAGCCAAAGGCTCAAGTGAGCTTTTCTGATCGAAATTTGTCCGTTGTCTGTCGTCGTTGTTGTTGTCGTTGGCGTTGTTGTCGTAAACTTTTCACATTTTCATCTTCTTCTCCAGAACTACTGGGCCAATTTCAACCAAACTTGCCACAAAGTATTCATGGGTGAAGGGGATTCAAATTTGTTCAAATGAAGGGCCACGCCCTCTTTCAAGGGGAGATAATAGAGAATTTGTGAAAAATTCATAGCATCTTTTAAAAATCTTCTTCTCAAGAACCACAGGGCCAGGAAAGATGAAACTCATGTGGAAGCATCCTCAGGTGGTGTAGATTCAAGTTTGTTCAAATCATGACCCCCGGGGGTAGGGCGGGGCCACAATGGAGGATCAAAGTTTTACATAGCAATATATAGGAAAAACCTTTAAAAATCTTCTTCTCAAGAACAGCAAAGCCATGATGAGTCATATTTATATGGAAGCATCCTCAGGTAGTGTAGATTTAAGTTTGTTCAAATCATGACCCCCGGGGGTAGGGCGGGGCCACAATGGAGGATCAAAGTTTTACATAGCAATATATAGGAAAAATCTTTAAAAATCTTCTTCTCAAGAACAGCAGAGCCATGATGAGTCATATTTATATGGAAGCATCCTCAGGTAGTGTAGATTCAAGTTTGTTCAAATCATGACCCCCGGGGGTAGGGTGGGGCCACAATGGAGGATCAAAGTTTTACATAGAAATATAAAGGAAAAATCTTTAAAAATCTTCTTCTCAAGAACAGCAAAGCCATGATGAGTTATATTTATATGGAAGCATCCTCAGGTAGTGTAGATTCAAATTTGTTCAAATCATGACCCCCGGGAGTAGGGTGGGGCCACAATGGAGGATCAAAGTTTTACATAGCATTATATATAGGAAAAACCTTTAAAAATCTTCTTCTCAAGAACAGCAAAGCCATGATGAGTCATATTTATATGGAAGCATCCTCAGGTAGTGTAGATTCAAATTTGTTCAAATCATGACCCCCGAGGGTAGGGCGGGGCCACAATGGAGGATCAAAGTTTTACATAGAAATATATAGGAAAAATCTTTAAAAATCTTCTTCTCAAAAACAGCAAAGCCATGATGAGTTATATTTATATGGAAGCATCCTCAGGTAGTGTAGATTCAAATTTGTTCAAATTATGACCCCCGGGGATAGGGTGGGGCCACAATGGAGGATCAAAGTTTTACTTAGAAATATAAAGGAAAAATCTTTAAAAATCTTCTTCTCAAGAACAGCAAAGCCATGATGAGTTATATTTATATTGAAGCATCCTCAGGTAGTGTAGATTCAAATTTGTTCAAATCATGACCCCCGGGGGTAGGGTGGGGCCACAATGGAGGATCAAAGTTTTACATAGAAATATATAGGAAAAAGCTTTAAAAATCTTCTTCTCAAGAACAGCAAAGCCCTGATTGATCATATTTATGTGGAAGCATCCTCAGGTAGTGTAGATTGTATTGTTCAAATGATGACCCCTGGGGGGTAGGGTGGGGCAACAATGGAGGATCAAAGTCTTAAATAGAAATATATAAGAAAATATCTTCTTCTGAAGAACAACAAAGCCATGATCATAAGTCATTTTGATAAGGAAGCATCCTCAGGTATAGTGTAAATTCAATTTTGTTCAAAAGATGACCCCCGGGGGTAGGGTGGGGCCCAATGGGGGATTGAAAATTTTACATAGGAACATATAGGAAAATATCTTCTTATCAAGAACTGAAAATCATGTTAAGTCATTTTGATATGGAAGCATCCTCAGGTAGTGTAAATTCAATTTTGTTCAAATGATGACCCCCGGGGCAGTGGTGTATCCAGGAATTTCATAAAGGGGGGGGAGGGCAGTAGAGGCATTGGGTCTGGGGGCTGCATTGAAGCCCCCAGTGGGTCTAGAGCAAGGCCCTGGTGGGGGTCCGGGAAGCTGATGAATTCTTACAAAGAAGAGATGGTTTTTCCTTGATTTTAGGATAATGGACATATAAGTTCTATCTAAAAAAAATTAAAACGGGGGGGGGGGGGGGGGGGGGGGGCACACCCGGCTTGCAGGCCCTGGATCCGCCTTTGCAGGGGTAGGGTGGAGCCCAATGGGGGATCGAAAGTTTTACATAAGAACATATAGAAAAAATATTTCTTCTCAAGATCAGAAAAACTATGTTTAGTCATATTGATATGGAAGCATCCTCAGGTAGTGTAGATTCAAGTTTGTTCAAATGATGACCCCTGGGATAGGGAGGAGCCACAATGGGGGATCAAATTTTTACAAAGGAATATATGGGAATTTTTAAAAAAAATCTTTTCAAGTACAACAAAGCCATTTGTTAAATTGACATGGAAGGTTCCGGTTGTTTAAAATTCAAGCCCCCCCCCCCCCCCCCCCCATCGCAAGGTAATCTTTTCAATACTGAACTGATTTGTACTTTTGCCTAACCAATGTGCTCAGGTGAGCGATGTGGCCCATGGGCCTCTTGTTATCATTAATTACTGTTATATGTATTTTTTACAGGTTGATTCTTTCATTGTGGAAGCCGTAGCTGTATATCTTTATAAGTTGGTAGTTTTTATCATTAATTACTGTTATATGTATTTTTTACAGGTTGACTCTTTTACTGTGGAAGCTGTAGATTTGGGAGAGTTGGAGAAGATTGTGATCGCTAAGGGCCCTGGATCACCATGGTTACTGGACAAGGTGGTCGTCAAGGAGAGTGAATACAGTGCTGTCCAATACAACTTCCTTCATGGAAAGTAAGACCAATACCAGAAATTTTACAAATTGTATTAAATGGAAACAAATGATATATACTGCAGTGAAAATTTGGTAGATTCTCTGAAACACTGTTGTCTGAATTTATAGATGGATTGGGTCTAAAGACACAAAGAAACAAGAAATAGAGGAAACCATCAGACTGAGTACAACTGAACCGAGTGTTGTCGTTATTCCTGCCAACCAAGTCTCAGATTTACCACAATCAAGTATGTGTAGGTTATAAATCAAAACAACCAAGTCAAAGATTTACCACAATCAAGTAGGTGTAGGTTATAAATCAAAACAACCAAGTCAAAGATTTACCACAATCAAGTAGGTGTAGGTTATAAATCAAAACAACCGAGTCAAAGACTTACCACAATCAAGTATGTGTAGGTTATAAATCAAAATAACCAAGTCAAAGATTTACCACAATCAAGTATGTGTAGCTTATAAATCAAAACAACCAAGTCAAAGATTTACCACAATCAAGTATGTGTATGTGTTCATCATAAATGTAGATAAGTAACTGATTTTATCAACAAAATTATACACTACCGGGTATCGATTTACTAAATGATAGCTATTTTTAAAATTGTTAAATGATTTCCAGTGTCAGTTGTCAGTGTTTTAAATCTATTGATTTACATGTACATTTTCTGTCAGAAATTATAAACTTTAAACATAGTGCAATTTAAACGACAGGTACTAGAATTATTTGCCAAAATAAATGCTACATCTGACAAAAATATGTAATTTTAGATGGGGCATGGAAGATCAGTACAGACACAGGAGGCCAGAAAGGGGGAGTCCCCCTTGATCTGGTAGTCACGTTCATTGGCAGCGAGGGAGAGAGTGAGCTTTGTCCACTCAAGTCCTCCAGGGAAAACCCATTCCAGATCGGACAGAAGGATGTGTGTGAGGTGAGTGTTGTATTGGCAACAACAAAATTTTATAAAGGATAATTAATTTTAAAGTAAATAATGAAAAATTGTTTGTAAGGAATATTTTATTATCAGTACTGTGTGCTTTTTTGTAGATCAAGTTTGCAGCAGATATAGGAGAACTTTACAAGCTTCGCCTCGGTTACCTTGACAACACAAAAAAGAAAGGCTGGTTACTAAGAAGGGTAAGTATTGTACACTAATTCTGTTGGTGTGTACATTTAACTGTGTCTGTATTAGCCATGATGATTGTCTATAAATTAATACTTTTACAGATAACCTGTGAGGACTCTGAAACAGGGGACATGTTTACCTATGACCTCAATGACTGGGTCATCGTAGATGAGAAGTCTGATGGCTGGAGGGAAATCCCTGTCCACTGGCCGGCCCTCCCCATTCCTAGAGGTAAGATATGACGGCCCTCCCCATTTCTAAAGGTAAAATATGACGCTCCCGTCCCTTCTACCAAAGATATAAATTACACCACAATCCTTCCTCCCAAATATGAATTGTAACAAGGGAGTCAAGTCTAAAGCTTCTCGGTGTTATTTAAAATGTCAGATTTGAGTACTTGAAACCATTTACAAGATAAAACCAGAATTTTATTGACAGCCAGATGAATGAGAAATGTTTTCTTGTAAAACAGTCTTGAAGTACCAGGTGATTACCTATCTTGGAGATGTACACAGAGCAGGTACTGACTCTAATGTGTTTGTCTGTCTGTATGGTAGCCTAAGCAGCTCTGGAAAACGACTTCTGAAACATTCCCTGACAAATAAGGATCGCTTCACACAGGACCAGGTAAGTACAATCAAGGATATCAGTGTTTCTGCACAGGCATCTGTCATCAAGAGTTTTTGAATGAGAATGTTGTGTGTACATTGGTGTTAATCAAAGATTGTGTTGGTGAGTACTAACTGTATGTTTTGCATGCTTTATAAATAAATGTTTTTGTTTACATTCTGGGTACACTGTAGGTGGACCAGTTTGAAGTGGAAGCTGTAGATCTGGGAACCTTACAGAAGGTCGTCATTGGACATGATAGTCAAGGAGAAGGTTTGTGTGACTCAACAGGTTCTTGTTTTTATTCCAACTTTCCATTTATTGAGAAATGTGCATAATGACTTTTTCTGATAAAAATGACTTTGCTTTTGTTGTGTTTCAGGATCAGGCTGGTATCTTAAGAAGGTGGTTGTGATGGATTCCATTGATTCTGTGGATAAATTTGTCTTCCCTTGCAATCAGTAAGTCAAGACAATCTGGACCTCATTAAGGTTTAAGCTTTGATTACTCTGGAATCATTTAAATTTGTTGGGGTCATTGTTCATGGGCAACCAATGTTTAATTCACTGATTTATGGGGATTTAATTTCATGGCTAACTCATATATACAGAAGGTTCAATATAGCAAGACACTGAAAAGGTTGTCTTTCCCCCAGGGTGAAAATGAAAATTCCGAAACCTTACTGCACATCTACAGGACAGAACCAAACATCTCTCAAAAGATGATTAGGCTACTGGGTAAAATGTAAGAGGAATTGTCCCATGAAACCCATGAACATTGGTCCCCCTCAAAAAGATATTTCCACAGTCTTCAGGACATAAATTACTGTGTATTTGTACAGTTGGTTGGATGACTCCATTAAGTTTTATCTCTATGTTCATTACATATAATTACTGTGTGTTTTTACAGTTGGTTGGATGAGGGAGAAGAAGATGCTAAGATAGAGAGGACACTGCTCTTGTCTGAGGAAGTGGTGCTGGAAGATGACATTTCCCCCACACCGCAAGTTAAAAGTCCCTCCCCAGTAGCAAGGCAGAAATCAGAGACACCAGCACCCAGAGAGAAGACTAAGACCCCAACCCCTACTCCTAGGCAGAAAACAAAAACTCCTATACCAGTTTCAAGGGAGAAGTCAAATAGTCCCAAGCCGACACCACTGGAGAAAGTCAAAACTCCCTCCCCACCACCAAAACAGAAGACAAAAAGTCCCTCCCCAACCCCACTGAAAAGTCCCTCCCCACCCCTGGTTGTAGCTTCTGAAGATGTGTCTGATAAAGTAGATTCTCCAAAACCAGAGACTCCAAAACCGACTTCACCAGAACAAGAGAAAACAGCCTCACCAGGAGCTGGGGGTGAAAAACTGGTGTCTCCAAAACCAGACCCACCAACAGCAGATGAAGAAAAAGTGAAAAAGTCAGACACACCAGAGGACGAGGAACCAAAATCAGAGATTCCTGAGAAGAAAGACTCGGATAAACCAGAGGACCTGGAGAGTAAACCAGAAATCCAGGAGGATAAACCAGATGAGGTGAAAGTTACAGCTGAACAGACAGATCAGCAGACAGCTGGACCTGAGAAAGCAGTGGAAGAGAACAAATCTCCCACACCTCCCCCACAAGGTAATCTTATAACCTGGTCATTAACAATCTACTAAATGTTGTACAGATAGATTAATGAAGGTGTAAATACTAAATATAATTTTTATTGCATCACCTATTTTGACTGATAATGCCCTATTTCTTCACCAGAGGGCACTGTAAAGGTATTTGTGACAACTAGTGCAGCCCCAGACTGTGGAACCAATGACCAAGTGACCTTGACTGTGTATGGAGATGCAGGAAATTCTGGTCCCCTCAGTCTAGGGGAACCAAACAAGGGATATTTCCAGCCAGGACAGACTGATGAATTCTTAGTAAGTTTAAAAATAACACTTGGTAAAGATCGGAAACAGGTCAGTGAGCTCATGGTTTTATACACAATAAAATTTAACCTTAATCCATAATAAGCTGGATATTTACTATGGCAACAAAATGAAATTATGTTTCTTTCCTATTGTATAATTGTATTCACAATTACTTTTGATAAGGGAAGTCAATGAAGATTTGATCTGACTATTGACTAAATTTATTTTGTTACTGGTATTTAGATTTTTAGTGTAAAGATAAAAAATGGAGTATAAAATAATTGAGACACAAGTATTTCTGGCATTTTCTGTTATGTTAATACTTCACTGTTGGATTGAGAAATATGTTACACATTATGGTAGCTTTATTAAAATATTGAATGTACAGGCATTCTGAAAAGTATAGAAAGTTGAACTGACATGAGAAAATTATTTTTTAGTACTTGCCTATTGTTTGACTGAAGTCCCCCAATATTTGACTAGGGTATCTGAGTGAAATTGACATTATTACTTTTAATCATTTATAGGTAAACTTTGACACAGAAGAACTTGGAGGAATCCGTAAAATCCGGATTGAGCATGATAATCCTCAGACGCAGTCTGGATGGGGTCTAGATAAGGTACTGTGTATTAAATATTTAGGCACATTGGAAGATAAAATTTATATCCATTTTGGTCATTTTCCCCGTTATGATATAGTGTGTTAAATCTTCACATATCATTAAATATAAATACATGTCTTGTGAACTTTTAGGAGTTTGTCTATGTTCTTTTATTTGTAAAATCTTCACATTTAATTCTTGAAGTATAACTTTATAAATATAAAAGATAATCAGTTTTTAAGAGTTTGTCCATGTTTTTTTTATTTTTTTTATTTTTAGGTTATTCTGCACAACCTGAAGTCTGATGAGAGATATGAGTTCCATGTCGGTAAACATCTGTCCTTCTCCGGTGAATACGGCGACATCGCAGTGGAGGTGCCGGCCGAGAATGAATCTCATGACTTTTGGCCAGGTACGTAGAAAATTCATGATTTCGGGTCAGGTCTATAATATAGTGATCAATGAGAAAAGTTCACAAAGAGTCTTCTGGGCCCTGCGAAATTCTGAATAACTATGCCAATCAGCATCTTTGATGAATTTCTTTTTCTTTCAATGCTTGTTTCAGGCTTTGGTAAGGAAACAGAAAAAAAGTCATTTATTTAATTTATTTATGTAACAATTAAGTCACTGTTAATTTACTAGAATTGTTTAGAATTTCTCCCTTTCCTTTCTAATCATTGTTGTAGAATTAAGTGGCGTTGGCATTTCTATAATTTATTTTTGTTACTACAGTGAAACACACTTATATTCCCCGTGCATTGTACAGGTATTGTTAATATATACGCATATGACGAATTATGTTTATAACAAAGCAAAATCGCCCGTCCCTGGCACTTCATTGAAAGCGTGTGTTTTACTGTACTATTATTGTTGCCTAAATCAATATTTCTTTTTATATGTAATTGGATAAAATTATTTAGATTAATATCAACAATTAAGATTGATTTGCTTTGGAAAGTAAGTTTCAATTATTATTCACAATAGTTATAAAATTCTACAGGAAATTGACATTTATAATTGATATTTATTAAAGAAATGAATTTAATTTTTGAAGATTCATGAGGGCATGAACTATGACGCTTCACGCTGGCATATTTCATGAAGCGCATTAGCGCTTCATGATAAATATGCTAGCGTGAAGCATCGTAGTTCATGTACCTCATGAATTTTCAAAAATTAAATTTATTTCTTATATTTACATTTTTTTTACTGATGAGTTTCCACAAATTACACCATTCAGCTGTAATTTTTGCAGCAAAACAGTTTGCACTATAGTTTTTACGTCAAGTACGGATTTATGACGTAAAAGGGAAATATTCATGCTCATCTCATGGTAGTTCATGAGAAAATGAACAATATTCTTATTTGCAAAGAATCTTAAGGCAAAATACTTGGAAATGTAAATATACAAATATAATACATCATCCACTATTTTATATCTCTATTTTCACTGTTGCTGTTTGAATGAATCACAGAAAAGTTGTGCCCCTTGTTTCAGTTCTTTGAATCCCTGTCCTGTCCCTCATCCCAAATTTTAAATGTATTTTGGTAATATTTATTTTCCCTACAAAAATCAGTGTAAAAAGGTAAACCATATTTAAACATAATGCAATTTCTATATTAAATTTTACATTATAATAACAAGTAATCCTACTGAAATCACTACATACATGTACACTTTAATCTGGTGCTCAATGATTCAGCTTTATGTTCTCTAGTGCGTCATTACATGGTTACCATAGAGACAGGAACTGAGGAAAATTCTGGGACAGACGCCACAGTTCACATCACACTATTCGGGACTTTGGGTGACACAGGCAGGCGCTATCTGATCAACAACAAAGAACAAAACAAGAAATTCAGAACTGGAAAAGTTAGATTTTTTGTTTACATTTCAGACACATTACAAGAGTTCTGGAGTATAACATACATTTAACGACTTTGTAATATCTTTCTCAGGTGGACACATTCATTGTTGAAGCTGTAGATCTAGGACGCCTGGAAAACATTATAATAGGGCATGATGGGAAGGGTGCGGAGGCTGCTTGGTTTCTGGAGAAAGTGTCTGTAAAAGAGGGAGTTGATGCCAAACACAAATATATCTTCACATGTAACAGGTAAAGAGTCCAGTTCCCAGTGGGTACAGGAGAAAAAGAGATACAGTCCTGTACAAAAACATCTCTTGTTAAGTAATGGCGTGTCAGTATGTTTATTGACAATGAGTCATTTTGTGTACCACTGATATTGAATTCCATTTACAGCTGGTTACAGGATGAAGAAGACTATGGTATTGTGGAGGTTGAGCTTTACATGGACAGGATGGAGAAAGAAAACTCTAACTTACAGAAACAAAACCTGAATATTGTTGATGGGGAGGACTCAGAGAGGGAAACAGGGGGACAGGGGAGAAAAGAGGACATTAAGGAGGACATGGAGAGTATGCAGGGTCAGGGAATAAAAGAGGATGAAGTGACTGATACAAGCAAGGAAGAGGAGATTAAGCAGGGTCAAGAGAATATACAGGGTGAGGGAGTGACTGAGAACACAAACAAGATTGAGGATGATAAATCTGGAATTAAGGACAAAACAGAAATTGGAAATGAGAATAGTGCCCCAGAGGACAATGATGTAGACTTGAATAAAAGTGAAAGTGAGGACATATACAAAACAGAAAGTGGAAATCAGGATAAAATCACTGAGGACAGTGATGTAGACAATGATAAAAGAAATGAGGACACAATCAAAGCCAAGAATGAGGACCAAAGTGATGTTACTGAGGACAGCAATGTAGAAAATAAAATGGAAAGGGAGGACACAAAGAAAACTGAAAGTGAGGACACAAAGAAAATTGAAAGTGAGAACACAAAGAAAACTGAAAGTGAAGACACAAACAAAACTGAAAGTGAGGACACAAACAAAACTGAAAGTGAGGACACAAGCAAAATTGAAAGTGAGGACCAGAATAAAGCCACTGAAGACAAAAGTTGAGACAATGAAGAAGGACAAGATCTGTTTCTACAGTAGCATGTAATTCTCTGGTTCTATGTATGCACTTCACTATGCAATCATATGTTCTATGTCACAATACTTAGCAAACACTAGTGCCAAATGATATTTCTGTCATGTCCATTACACCAGAGTTCAATCCTTCAGAAACATCAACTTGCTATAGTTATTCACAATTAAATTTTTATTTTTCATTTTATGGGAACAGTTTCTGTACATCAACATCTTTCTGTGATAATCAAAATGACTGTGATTGGATTTTTTAAAATCATTTTCTGATTTATATTTTTATACAATATTTTATTAACTTTGACCACCAATCTACTTTTAGTATTGTTGTCATCAATCTATTTTTAATTCCTGTGTAAAATTATCATTTTTATGTTAATAATCTTGTATGCCACATATATTTAATAAAGTTTAGAAATTGGAATGTTCAAGGTGATTTTATTTCAATGTTCTTTTTTCTTTTTTACATATTTTGAGGAAAAAGAGTATAGTTTCCACATGTTAACCATTATGCTAATAAATTCACATTTATCTATACTAATAAACTTTGGTTCTTTAGAAGCTGGTATGTCCGAGGCAGTTGATTATGTATTATTTCTTCTTAGTAATGAATGTGAATGATATCCCCAATGAAAAATATGAGGGGAATCATAACTAATTTGTATAGTAATATTTTCACTTTGTGATTCCATTTAATCTGAAACCTGTTATTGTAATAATTTTTTTTAAAGATAATTCATTTAATATGATAAAAGTTCTTATCAGGTACAAAGGTACTTAGAAGAAACTTTATACAGCATGGTAAATCAATAAAGCCTTGTATTATATCTAGTCCAGATATCATATTGAATAAATAAACACACAGTAACTATTTTTTAAACTTGTTGTAATTATTCGAGGATATTCAAGATGTTAATTCTTTGAACAAGCTGATTATACTGAAGAAGAGATTGGTAAAAATTCCAAACTGTTAATAAAAATACAACAAGAAATTTGTCAGAACCTGTTCTATTAAGTGGCGTCAATAATGTAAATACACACACTATCAAGCATGCCACGTTGTTATGTCATTTCTAAGAGATCATGAACTAAAGCTATGGTTTACCCTATGATTTATTATTGCTGTGTGATACATGAAATATATGGAGATAACGAACAGTATTCAAGCTCAAAAGTCCATTATACAATACAAAATAGGAGCAGAGCAAACACGGACCTCCAAACATCAGAGGTGGGATCAGGTGATTCATCCTTACATAATCATCCTTACATGTGTAAGGATAGACAATTTTATAGAATTGGTCTGTAGATTCTTTTTAATTAAAGGAAGTAGCTATGGTGCTATATATAGTAGCTTTAGTTAATGTAAGTCTCTAGTTTTAATTTACTGTAAAGTGAGGTAACGCTACATCAAAATTATTTTATCAAAATTTCTTCTTCGGGAATTTTATGTGATACAAAATAAAGTATGTAAAAGTAACTTAATTAGAATTTAAGAAAAAAATAAATGTAGAAGTAGTAATATTTCTTTTATTTTTACAAAGAATTGTACACCATGTGGTTAAGTTAGGAATTTTTCTCAGTTACAGTCACATTATTTCCAGGAGAGTTTTTGAGATTTAAGAAAAAGGGAGATTTTCTCGAAGGACATGTACATACAATTTATAGGTTTAATCTCAGAATTGATGCATGATCATTTGATTCAAATCATGCATTAATGCTCAACCAATTTTAACATGATAACTTCCAATTAAGTAGCATGCGTAAAATTGTACATCATTCGCTAATATAAGTATCTGATTCATTTAATTTTGTGAATATATTTATTAAACCCTTATTGCATTGATAAAAATACAGACAAATGCATGTTACATATAACTTGTCTGTATTTCATTATGTAGCGTAAAATAAATATAACCGTGTTTAACATAGTACAAAGCAAGGTCATGGTCAGAATATTCAACATTGTCCTTGACCCAAACTTGTTTATCACCATTGACAACAGAAAAATGGGCAAGCGTGTACGTGTAAGCCAGGTAAATCTGTACAAAACAAAAATGTGTTCCTCCCAGAATATGTTTAATAAACAAACAAGTACAGAGAAACATAAGGCTTGATTCCCATTTAACTAAAATTAACTTAATATAGATTAAAGTCAGTTTATTTTTTGAAAAAATTCAATGGAACATCGCTTTGAGTGAATGGTTAATTTCCTAATTCACTCCGTCTGTTTTTATCAGTCCTCATCCAATGAGCTTTAATCATTTATTTCTGAAAATTTTCATCTAAAATATACGAGCAATGATTACCTTTAGATAAAAAAGATATAAACTTATTTTTCTTACGTTTACAGTACAGTCATTTATTTGAAGTAACAATGTAGAAGGGCAGTGGTCCATACTGTGAATTCAGACTAAGGGTTCAGAGAGTTTGAGTTTCGTTTAAGTCTGTGAAGAACCCGATACAATTTCTGCCTTTTGGTGAAGATGGGCACCCAGAGGATGTCAGGGGGATATTGGACAAAGAAAAGACCAGGAGGTTCTATGTGTACTGCAAGGTGGGTTGTATTGTTTTTATTGTTTTATAATACTGTAATCCAACTATTACTCGCGTCATCTTTTATTCGCGATTAGCCCGTTTAAAATCAATCCGCGACGATTAATTTTTGCGACTGAGGAAACATTCTCTACAAATACAAAGCAATATAATTGGTCGCGGCAATTAATATTCTCGAGTTAAAGTAGGTCGTGAAACTGTAGGATATTTCTCGCAATCGAATAAAAGTTGGTTTACAGTACTCTAGAAACTCTTTAACAATGCTTAATTAATTTGCAGAAGTCTACATGTGTAAATTCTTTAATATTATTATTGATGTTCATGTTTGAAAAACCAATTATAAATGAAAACAAATAGGAAATGTTTCTCAATCGAAATTTAATAAATGAGATGGATTTTTAGAGTATGTATACGTCTTAATTTTATAGCGAATAGTGATCACTAATTAGAACCCAGGCCCTTTGGATAAGACTGTAGCTGTAATGACTTTTGTTCTTTTTTACCTAGGGTATGACACAGAGGAGTTGTGATTTTCTTCACGTCCCTGTATCAGGTCGCCCGCGTGGCGCAATGGTTAGAGCATCTGTTCCAGAGTCGCAGAGTAAGGCGTTGATCCTTACGTCACGGGCTCGAATCTCACTGCAGACAATAGAATTTTGTGTTTCTTACATATAATGTACAATATAATGTATTACTCTTACTCATCATATATTATAGTTTGAGCACAAAGTCTATTGTAGAATTTGTAAAACATTTGCTTTGAAGTGTGAAAAACTAACACTTTGCAACATATAACCTTAAAGTAAATACTCTTGTATTTTGAGACAATCCCTAAAAAATATCCAGAAGATAGATTTTCCCTAAACTTGGCATATATACTGAAGTCATTGTAAATTACATATGATTTAAAATTACAGAGTTTTTATATTATAGTTTTCACACAATAAAACCCCAGACGCTCCCTTAACTTAATTACCTTAAGTTTGCAACCTTCAGAATTACAATCTTTGATATTTTGTCACATTGTTATTAATAAAAATTATAATTTCACAGTGATAGGAAGACAATCTAAAATTGTTCGAAGAATTCTTTGTTGTAGAAGTGATATTCATCAGCAAAATGTCAACGCTAATCAACGAGGTCTTTCATTATTTTCCTTGCTTCTGTATAAAATGTACACAAAAAAACAACAGTTAAAGGAATATTTAAGTAATTAATGTTTGATTGATCCCGCCATGTTGAGTGTCAGGGAACGAGGAAGACGCCTAGCATTGCTGAGGTGGATGAAGAGGAAGAAATGGAACCACCAAAAGCCAGGGAAAGTTCTACAAGATTCGTCTCGAGCTAATTCCCAAATCTCCGTCAAAGAAGCCCTCATGGAAAGTTAACGAGGTCAGGCTTACAAATGTGTTCACTGAGCAGACCTTCATCTTCATGTTTAATCGCTGGTTGTTTCGGGAACACGAGGATATGGAGATAACCATTACAAAATAGGAGCAGAGCAAACACGGACCTCTAAAATATCAGAGGTGGGATCAGGTGCCATGGAAGAGTGAACATCCCCTGCCGATTGGTCACATCCGCCGTGTGATCCTTGTCATGATCGGGAAATTACGGGAAAATCCGTCGATAATTCAGTTGGTAAATAATTGCCTAAAAATTGGAATGAACAAGATGTGTTTGTAAAACACTGATGCCCCCGTATGGCAGCTTATGGCGAAGGTTAAAGTTTCTCAAATGCAAGTCAAAATCCAGGCCAAAAGATAAAAAATGTTGGTACCCAAAGAAAGTGGTTGGTATCCAAAGGAAGGTCTTGTCACATGGTTAAAGGTTTACATATGTGAAGTATGAAAGTCCTAGCACCAACTATTCAAAAGTTATGGCCAAGATTAAAGTTTTTTAAAAATAGGTCAAACTCCTATATCAAGGTCAAAGGTTCAAAGTGGTTGGTATCCAAAGGAAGGTCTTGTCACATGGTTCAAGGTTTGCATATGTGAAGTATGAAAGTCCTAGCACCAACTATTCAAAAGTTATGGCCAAGATTAAAGTTTTTTAAAAATAGGTCAAACTCCTATATCAAGGTCAAAGGTTCAAAGTGGTTGGTATCCAAAGGAAGGTGATGTCACAAGGATTACGTATGTGAAGTTTAAAAGCCCTAGCATCAACCATTCAAAAGTTATGGCCAAGGTTAAAGTTTTTCAAAAGTAGTTCAAACTCCTAAGTCAAGGTCAAAGGGTCAAAGAGGTTGAAATCCAGAGGAAGGTCTTGTCAAAAGGAATACACATGTGAAATTTTAAATCCCAAGCACCAACTGTTCAAAAGCTATGGCCAAGGTTAAAGTTTTTTAAAAGTAGGTCAAACTCCAAGGTCAAGCTAAAAAAGGTCAAAGTTAATTGTATCCAAAGAAAGGCCTTGTCACAAAGAATAAACATGTGAAGTTTGAAACCCAAAGCACCAACTGTTCAGAAGTTACGGCCAAGGTTAAAGTCTCATAAACTTTTGCAAAAGTGGGTCAAACTGCAAGGTAAAAATGTCAAATATGATGGTACCCAAAGAAAGGTTTTGTCACAAGGAATACATATGTGAAATATGAAAGTCATAGCTCCAACCAATCAAAAGTTATGG